TGTGCCTGGGTGCAAATCAGTGTGTTAGCCCTGGGACAAACAGATTTACACCGTTAAGGGAGCAAATAACGTATATTTGAAAAAATCGTAGACAACGGGCGAAGAAAGGTACAAACACAAAACGTCTCAAACTCAGCTACTAAACTTTATTGACACAACCGTTTATATACCGTCTCTCACAAACACATCTTCCGGAATTCGCACACGTCTTTGTGATTTCCTCCACGGTACAACACGTCGTGACCTCAATTCAAGGAGCGACCTCAAGCCCCACGCAACACAACACACAAATCTCCCGGAGCAAGTCAGTTTGCGTGGTGCTTATATACACTTGTTGCTTAGTAATCGATATATCTAGGAGGCTGCTACAATCGCCAGAACCCTATTTTAGGGTGTTAAAAATGTTTGGCCATGGGGCAAAACTGATTTGCACCCTTAACGGTGTAAGTCAATCTGGCGATTGTAGCAGCATTTTAGAGGGATTGTTTTACGAGCCACAAATGTATAGCATGCCTTTCATGCACTTGCACACGCATAGAAATCATAAATACAGATGTAAAGAAGAACGCACGCGGAACAGAAAGAGATCAGAATAGCGACTCGCTATTCCGATACCGTTCCGTTCTGCTAAACCCGTTAACAGGTTCTGTTAAAAGAGTAGTGATTCCCGACTCTGTACCACCGTATATACTCGACAACTGAAAATACTCATTCGCAGATGACACCGCCTTCACAATTAAGAAGATCACAAGTATGCTGATTTGTCAACGTCGACATTTCACAGAAAGCGTAATATATTGAAGTTCAAGAAAGGAATCTTCAAGTTAAAAGTATAGGGAATATTGTTTTCGATATAACCTTTAAAACAACATTCCCTAAAGATGTTTAAACCAGGTACGTAAGCTCGCTCAGCGGCGTAGACTTTCCATTTCCCGGGGGGGGGGGGGGGGGGGGGGGGGTGCTGCTGAGCGTTACCTTTTCGCCAGAACTGGACATTGAAGCTAACGAAAGCATGCTGGGATTCTATTTCTCATGTATTTTGTCGATAAAGGCAACGTGGGCGTTATTTTGTTTACATGCCACTACTAGAAGCTCGTTACATGGCACGTAAACAGCGTCTCGGTAAGGATCATGGCCCAAATCCGGAGGGGGGGGGGGTAGGAAAGCAGAGCCCCCCCCCCCCCCCCCCGGATCTTATTAGGGGGGGGGGGCACTAACCCCGATGCCCCCCCCCCCGAAGTCTACGCCTATGAGCTGCCTTACACCCTTTTTTGTAGCAGCATCTTTTTTCACTCCCTTTTTATACTGGTGTGTTCAATGCAACAGCTTCCTATTTTGAAATATAAAAGGGTGTACTATTGCTCAAAATAAGGGTGCTGAAAGGGTGCAGTCATAGGTGTAAGCCTATGGAATATAAGGGAGTAAAATTGTTAGTGTGCATTACACAGAATATTACAATTCATTTATAAGTCACTCGTTCAAATGTTGGTTTTGAATGTCAATAGGCACAATCTCGTATGAGTGTGCCTATGAACTTGTATACTTTTTTTTTATTCCTCACACCTGTCAAAGCCTGATACGTAAGGATGAGCAACTGTATTCAATTGCATACCTGTCACCGCAACGTTCTTGTCGAAGAAGCTGTCCTCGCTCCGCTGTGACACATCTGCTTTCTTCCCTGCATCGAAATAAAGCGGAAATCAAAGCGGTAGATTTAGCATGCCGTGACCAACTGACAAAAATGCACCATCGCCTTACCGCCCTCCTTCTTTCCAGGGCTTTCTTTGTCGGAAGACGACGAGGAAGAGCTTGAGCTGGAAGAGCTTGAACTACTCGAGCTACGGTCCTGCGGGACGGCACTTGCTTTTTCCGCGGCACCCTTTACCGACTGCGGATTCTCTTCAGCGTTTTCTTGTCTCTCTTCACTCCTCTGCGGAACGACCCACTCTTTGGCCTTGAGACTGTCACGCCTCTCCCGCTGCTCTTTCCTCTTTTCGGAGGCACGCCTGTCAAGCGTCCTTGGTTCGTCATCTTCACCCCACAGCACGGTGCGTTTTTCGACGGCGTGTCGGTCGGCCAACGGCACGCTGTGTCTGGGTCGTTGCAGCGGTGCTTTGGGCTCAGGAACCTCGATGGCACTCCTCACCTGTCGCTCCTGGGTTCGGACGTCTTGGAAAGTCTGACCGTGCTGCGGTCCGCCTGGTACGTCCAACGTCTGCTGCTGCCTCCGCTCCGAGCGATCCTGTGGACTGTGCGCTCCCTCCTCTTCGGACGATGCATTTTTATCGCCCTTAAACGGGCCTCCGTGCGACGTGCTTCTCTGGTCGTCGCCTGCTGCCTTGTCCGAGCTCTCTGTGGATTCCTGCTTGTCATCATCGCTTCTATCTCTTGTAGCGGGATGCCGGCTGTCTTCCACGCCCTTCTGCGTCAAGTCACGCTCGTCGTCGACCCTATCTTTGTCTCTCTTCCGGAGGATGCCAGGTTTGGTGTCTCCGGTGATGGTGGGGCGGCGAGCGGCATTTCTAGGAGGACGGACTGGAGGCTCTTGTTGCTTCACTGCTTGCTTGGGGGCACCTTGCCGTCGCGGCGGCTGCCGCTGAACGTCCTCCCGCGTTCGTCCTCCTTTTCCCGCTCTCTTGGGACGTGCCGGAGGGCCCTCCTGGTTACCTGGAGGCCTCATCTTCTTATAGTGCGTGACGTCCCTCTCGTCGGTTACCCTGAACGCGTCGTCGTCATATCTTCCGTGACCCCCGGCGCCCGACATGAGGACCTCGGTCGTGTGGTTGATGAAGACGTTGTCGAAGTCCGGCAACCTCGTAGACTGTCCGTCTTTCCTCCGCACTGCCGGTGGTGACAAGTTACTAGGGATGTAGTCGGAGAAGTGACTCATCACCGCAGACGGGCGCTGCGGTCTTGGATCGTTTTCAGACGCGGCGGGTCTTGAAGCTGGTTGCCGGTCTAGCGCACTCGTTGTGCGGAAGAACTCGCCGCCGTCTGCCAGCCACGAGACAGAGGGTTCCAGGAGCGAAACGCTGCCTCGCTTGGCGAAGTGGTTCGACCAAGGAGCTCTGTCGTCTGCTGCGCCTTCATCGGCGTGGTGCTTGTCGGGGCTGGGCGGCTCATCGTAATGGTCTTCGTCGGAAGGTGGTCCGTTGGAGGGTTCGTCGTCGGATCCGTTGCCTTCGTGCCGGTAGGGCCGTGGTGCGGCCAAGTTCGGTTTCGTGATGGGAGGAGGGGCCCAGGATTCTGGAGTCTGTCCCCTCGATAACAGTAGCATCCTGCTGTCGCCTCGGGCGACCCAAGGGGGTGTGGAGAGTCCGAAGAGAATCGGGTCGGGGATGTACTCCGGTGGACTGTATTCTGTTGCCTACAAGAGGAAAAATAATTGCCTGTCTCTTTTGCATTTTTCAAAAGCGTTCTGAATGTGCATGGCATTTATACAGGCTCTTCTTACCGCTCCTTTTGTGGACACAGTAAAAAAGCTACTACGTAGTACATTGCGAGCGTTTTGTGAATTTATAAAAGCGTCAATGTCACGTGAAACTCCGAAGCCAAGGTGTCAAGGCACGTCACAGTACCACGTGACACGGTGACGTCACCAAGGCTATATCAGGATACGCGGAAACCCGAAGAGCTGGCCCTGTAAGTACTATGCACTTAATAAGCGTTCTTGGATGGTACTGGCAAGGCGAATCGTCTATGTAGTAAGGATGGTATACTTTAATGAGCCGGATCTCAGCTAGGTCCGTTGAAAAGGTCCGCGATTTTGTTATAACAATCTGTGATGCATAATATATACAAAACATATTCAATTAATAATGTTTTATTTACCTTGGGAGGATGGCCGTGCGGGTCGTTAGAATTCATCTCGTCCGGTGTGAGGTAGCGTTGCCTGATCAGTTCTGAAAAGTTCTCCTGCAGTATCATAAAACGTTGAACGTGTTAAAACAGTATATTAATAAAAATAGCAGGGTATTTAATAAGTATTTATAATTTCTATAGTTTAGTCTCGCATGGAATTTGTTGTTGTTTGTTTCTTTATGAAGAAAAGAAAAAAATAAACTAGAATATAGTAAAAAAAAAAAAAGATCGCAAAGGAATTTTTTAAGACTGAAACGAGCCAGGTAGAAAGTTAAACTGTTAAAAGGTTTCGATGAGCCTAGTCTTCGGATTGCGGGTTCCTGTGGGCGCATGCTCAGTCCATGCTCAAACCGACGGCACACGCTCCTGGCAGCAACAACGGTCCACCCACTCCAACTTAGACAAATTAGCTTGAACAAGCAATGCACAACTGCACATTGAATGCGACCGCCGACACCCAGTTTTGCATTAAAATATCTATAAAAAACGTAATCATAAAAAAGTTAACGCGCTCGTCACGGTTCTGGCCCTGCGGCAATTTATACCGCAATGGCACTTCTCCGCAATGCACCAGCGCGTTAGGAGAAGCACCCTTGGCAGGGGGCGTTGACGCGCAAGCTTTTCTGTTCTACCGCTACAATTTCCCCTCTTGAAAGTCCGCACACGTACATTTAATAAAATTAAAAAAATGGTTATCATCGCCTGATGATGATGTGGAAATCATTTTCATCGCGCATTCGGAATTTTAAACGGGAGTAATAAAACGGTGCTGCATTATGGATTAAGATTTCGCAACAGCTCGGCGATCCATCGCCTTCGTCATAGGCGACCTTTTAATAGTGGTGACGTCACGTTTTTCCGAGCAACTGCTCTCTTTCGTTACCAAGAAGAGAGAGAGAGAGAGATGGAGAGTGCGCGCATTGTCCGCCTTCCCACAGACGATGTTAAAGGGCGCCACGAGGATAGGTGATGCACAAAACGTCAAAACGTTTTAAAAAAAGCGAAAAAAAAACAAAAAACGGTGACATTTTAAGAAACAATTTTATTGGCACTGTTACTGAAACACAAAAAGAAAATATTTATTGTTTTAGTTTTTCTTTTCTTTTTTTTCTCGACATGAGCGGGGCTTAAAGAACGAAGCGCTCTTCTTCTTAACGTATTAGACAATTGAACGAGTTGGTATGTATTCATGTGCGGGCAGAAACTGAGGCAAAGGAGGAAACGAGAACACCCCAGAGCGGCGGGCGAACTCTGAATGGAACGATGAAAGGGTAGAGGCAAAGCTAGCTGACTTTGTCTCCACTGCACTCGCATAGTGGTTCATACACCTATTAAACTACTATTAAAGGCGTTTGCACAGTTGTGTTCCGTTCCCTGTAACTCTCAGATCCTCAGTTTTTTATTATTATTTTTTGTTGCAAACAATCATTAGCGCGGCGGGAAAAGTCGTTAACTCGAAAATAAGCGAAATGTGTACACAAAAGGCAAGCAAAATTTCTACGGCGACAGAAATGAAAAAAAAAGAAAAAAAGAAAAAGAAAACCGTTTCGAAAGGACTGTTTTGTTTGAAGGGACATGCGCCGCGCTTGCCGTACGTGCGAATTACGAAGCGATTCTGCGGTTCCGGTGGAGGGTGGCGACAACGTTACGCTACGACGTAAGTGCAAAAAAAAAAAAAAAAAAAAAAAGAGGATAGGGGAAAAAGAAAAGGGGGGGAGGGGAGGGGTGAGCGTGTACTGCACGGTTAAATTCCACACGAAGAGGCTGGGTGGCGTTTCGTGTGGCCGTTAAATGCACCGATGTGATTTGGTCCGCCGTGCTGATGGCGTATCGTCTGCGAACGTTCCCTCCAAAGTGTTCTTTTTCTACAGTAGCAACGACATTATAAAACAACGCACGAGTAGAAGTGAGCACCAGCACTGCGAAATGACGCCACACGTGCATACCGTGACGCCATTTTGCTGCGTATTTCACGGTAAAGCCAGAAAACCCTAGAGTAATGGAAATTACGTTTCGTAGTTAAATTAGTAGCGCGTTTAATATTTTACGAATAAGCTAATATTATAATGAAAATAAATTAAAATACTGACTGTAATTTATTGTTTCATGGCAAACAGTTCATTCGTGTTGCTGTGCGTTACACTTTACCCTATTACTTTTAACGATAAATTTTTCTAACGCACTGAACTAATGAACTAGTGATTCGATCGCAGCTCAATAAGTTATTTAAAAAGAAACTGAAGAACTTTCTAAGAAGTTACCCCGTGAATTGGATTGTCGCTTTTAAATTGAACAATACGAAACGTAAACAACCGCTTTTACTTAAAAAAAAAAAAAAAAAACTGAAAAAAAATAAAAAAGTGCAGCGATTGACGCAGGGCACGTTACGAGCCTCTCTGCCGCCTGTTATCTGTCCAAAGCGTCTCGTCGTCATCGGATGAAGGAAGGATGAATCCGGCTGAGCCCTTTGGATCGGGCGATAGCTTACGCCACCTAGCCATTTTGTTTTACCATTTAAGCCTATTGTCATATTTGAGCGCCAGCTTAGTGGCGAGCAACGTTGCTATAAAACTATCTCAGTTCTGGAGCCACACGAAAGGAGGTACAGCCCCCCTCTTTTCAGTCCGCCTCCCGTCGTTTAAAACTCCATCTAGATTTACGTTTCGAAACTGTTTGTTCCATAGAGTTCTGTGAAACGCCACCCAGACGCTGTGCTTTGAAACATACATATTCCGTGGAACATGCTGCAGTTGCCATAGCAGCCGTCCCCCAAAACGATGGCGCTTCAAACGACGGGAGGCGAGCCGTGGGGAAAGGGGGGGGGGGGGGGGGGGGGGGGGGGGGTTACTGCTCGTGCAAGCAGCGTTGATTGGCAGTTCCGTTGAGCTAATCGAGTTACGTTGGTGGCCAATGACGTCAATGTCGCTAGTTTTCCCATCCGCTCTAATGCTCTGTTTGTACTCGGCTCACGGTAGCGGGCAAACTTACGTTAATTCTTTTTTTTTTTTTCACTTTCTTTCCTTTTTTTTTTTTTTTTTTTTTTACGACGCTTCTATGAAAGAATTTATGAGGAAACTTTACTTACATAGTATTTAAGTTGACAACATTCAAACTTTCAGAGCTTTTTCAAAAACCGCTTCAGTTTGCCTTTAAAGAGACCGTGAAACGTTTTAGTAACATTCTTTGTAATGTGTAACTTACACATTTTTAGGCAATACCGTCTCGAAATTTTGTTATCTCTCTAATAAAATTTTTAGTAAAAAAAGAAAGAAAAAAAAAGAAGTTGCTATCAGTCAGTTGGTTTAATCGGTATCTGTATTTGTCTTTTAGCGCGTGTAGTGCCACAAATATCTATCCCTTTTTTCGGCAGCGGTTGTAGTGATTCTAATGTAACTAAATGATTTAAAGTCCGAGGCACTGGAGCAATTACTTAAGTTTAAACAAGAAGGCGGAAGAGTGATATCTCGGCGAGCTCACCCTGAGTTGCTTGAGTCTCTCCGAGCGCTCGTTGAGGAGACTGGTGCGCTGCTCGATCTCGTCCAGTTTCCGAAGGAGTCGGTTGTTGCGTTCCTCGTTGTGCTGCTCTTCCATGAGCAGGCTACGCCAGTAGTCGTACAGCGAGGCATGCTCGTTCATCCTAAGCGTTAAATAGCGCCAATCAACCTTTCTACTAGTAAAGAAATGTCGTTACAATTGGAATCACGTTTGGTTGTCATCGAAAACCGCGAAAGGAGCCCATTTTAGAAACACTTTCTGGCGTTTTACCGCGTCTCAGAAAGAACATTAATTTAAACGGTCTGCCGAGGTTTCGAATTCCTGCTGATGCTTCACCGAATTGCCAGCAACGCAAGAAGAGTAGCGAAATCTCCAAAACATCTTCTAATGGTTTCATCGGGCCATATATGCCTACATATATATTTGAAATGCGTTAAAACGAACGAGCAGTGCCTTGAATCTCTGACAGCTTACTGAATGGTTCTCAATTATGCAAATCAAGTTTGATTAACGCAATAAGACCTTTACATTTTCGAATTAATCTATTAAAATAAATCACCCGTTATTGACATTTTGGTTGTGACCCGTAAACTACACTCAAAGAATTCTGGAGCGCGTGCTTTCCCTCAAAGTAATTGGGTGAGCCAATCGCTGCAATCTGCGGAGGGGGCGCGGCGAGCTACGAGATTATGAATTTCGGAGATGATTGTTCCAGTCCTTTCACGATATCTGTCTATCTAATTCGCTCGTATTTTTAAAGAGGAGTCTACGAGTAGACTCCACCGTTCATCGCACGAGATCACGATACTCTAATAAAATAACAGTAATATAACTTTCTCGGTACACCGCGAGACCATAATCTACAACGTAGAAAACGGGTCAGGGGTGAGCGGGGCTGACAGACAAAGCAAGCTCGTCTACTATTCAGTTCACTGTAATACAAATGCCCCCTTTTTTAAGTTCTTCGTTTTGATGAGTATACAAGCACCTTTCTTTTTCGTTTTTAAACTAAACCGAAGCATGCCAAATATATAGTAATATAGAAAAGTGCCCCGAAAAAAGTCTGTACGAACCGAATGTATTGACGGATGGAACCGCGGAGAGAGCTCTAAATTTACTCTAAGGGATGTAGCATTTTTCATAATATGTTCGTTTTTTTATAAAATATATAATGCGTTCTTTTAGATTTCTTCCACTCGCTTAGAACCCGTTTCGCAACTATGGAAGCACGTCACCACGAAAATGGGACGTCAGGTTTCATCGAGGAAAAAAATAACGGGACAGCAGAAATGCACCTCTAAAACGAAACATCTTGTTACCCTATCTATGAGCCATATGTCATCTGTTATCTGGACGGTCAGCAGATGTTAAATACAATCACAGAGTAACGCGTGCTGAGAGACGCAGACTTTCGGAAGAGATGGCATCACAAAAATGCCAGCATCAACCGATTTGTTGTGGTCCTGGTTGAAACATGTTCAGAAGTGTACATATAACATCTCTTACCTGACTCTCCGATGGCTGCAGTACTCTCCAGACCGGGCAGTCCAAAGAAAAAACCCGGACTCAAAGAGTCCGACTTCCCTTTACACTTTACCGTGCCCCCAAACACGCGAGCCGCGGGTCGCGGCGCCGGGTGCTATGCCCTAAAAACCGCCGTCCAATACGCTCGGACTGACCCACATATGCATCGAACGGGAGCGCAGCATCGGTATTCATCGCACGAGATCACGATACTCGAATAAAATAACAGTAATATAACTTTCTCGGTACACCGCGAGCGAACCTTAAAAAAGAAAAAAGAAACTCGACACCGTTGGACGCGTGCTCGTATTTACAACCCCGAGCGCGTCGTCTAAAATCATTGCCTGGATCGTAAAGCTCACACATGTAAACAAACTTTTTTTTTTTTTTTGAAGATATCAAACGTACGGCGCGTAGGGTGGGAAGATCACGTGATAGAGAACAAAGAGCGCTGGGAACGTAGACATTAAAAACGGCGAGTATTAGAATGGAGTACAGTTCGTACCGTTTCCGAAGGTATCCGTTTCATTTTGTGGACGCGCGTCCAGCCAGCCGCGGGAGCTTGCGCGGGGTGAACTGTGTAAAAACGAATCTTGGTCCGTTGTGGCGCCAAGCTCTCACCTTTTTTTGTTGTTGGCGGTAACAAATAATAAAGCGAAGAAGCGTAGGCAGTCCAGCGTAGGTCGAGCGTAGCACTCAACGCTTGCATGCGGGCGCGGGAATCGATACAAAAAATCGCGGTAAAAAAAAAAGGATTTCAGCTAAACTTTGCGGTTATGGCTTCGTTCTTTTTGGCGGGAACCTTACTACGTGCTTGCCTCGGGCCATAGCGCGCCGCGTTGTGTTGTGGTAATTACGGCGCGATTCATCAGGGTACTCAACCATTTCAGTTTACCGCTGTTGCCCGGGGCAACGTAGAGATCATAAGATTTAGGAGAGCGAGCAACTCAAACGATGTAGAGCGTTTGCAATTTCATGACGGACACCTCTTGCGCTAGTAGGTTGATTCTGCGCATGCGTAGATTACCGAGTTTCGAGGAGGATAACGGGGGAGATGCCGAGCAAAGCTCATAGACGCTCGCCTTCTCCTTACAGCTTGAGGCCCCAAAACCACGTGACCTAGACGGAACAGTTGGAAACACTCTCAAAACTGGGCATACCGGGGCAACGGCTGGGTCATCCCCCCTGGACCAGAAACCAGCGGCGAAATAAGTTTTTATTGCCATTTGACGTGCGCTTTATTTCAGTTTATGTTTGCATTTTGATGTAACGGTGTACCCGCCGTTTGTTCAATGTCTTGTCGTACAAAGGTCGCCCTTTAATTCTCTCTCTCTCTTTTTTTTTTTTTTTCGCGCGCGTGCGACCTTTGATTTTCGTCCTTGCAATAAAAAAGTGAACATATAACCTGGGAGTAGGGCTACAACGCACTTATGCGACGGTACGTCGGCTCCAGTTTCAATTTTTTGAGGTTCCCGATTTTTTAATTTCTTTTTTTTTTTAGATATGGGATTTAAAGTCTGATGATTGACATGTAACATGACAGCAGGTGTGGAACCCTAATACTTTAACGAAGGTATGTTCATAACTTATAAGGGAGGCACGGTTTAGGGTGATATGGTAAGTGCTTTGAGCGCGTAAAAGCTAAAGCTTTTTTTTAGTTTTAAAGTTTGATTTATTTACGCCTGGTTATCGACATTTAGTTAATGAGCACGTCTACTAAAACGGTGTCTCATTGTAGACAGTATACCCGCACGACGCGAACGTTCATTTAATGGAAGGAAAATTAATTTCGCTAATGGGATTTTCTTTTCTTTGGCTATAATCCGATATGGTTCGGAGCCGAAGTAATTGATTGACTTCAGAAAAGAAGACCTCGCTAATGAATTGCTTGTCAAAGCGCTCTATGAATTCACAATTTGTGACCCGATTGCAAGTGGTGACAACTGGTAAAGGGTATATGGGTCCACCAAGCCCACTGCACGTCGTAAAGTTATTTTTTGATGCAATGTTGTTGTGGAAATTTTTTTCCCGTTACATTTGATTCTATTTTATGTATTGATTGGAACGATTAGTGGGTAGATCTAGACCTAGCTGCCTTTGTATTCCACTGCACTTGTCGGACGCGTTCGAATGCCACAGCCGGACGCCAGACGCCGGCGTTCCGAGTTCTAACTCGTTCGTGGAGTGCAGAGGATACAAAGGCCAGCTAGGTTTAGATCTACCCACTAATCACTCCAACCAGAGTTTGACGTTCTTATGTCACCGTGCGCTATCGTTTCCTGCCTCTTCATCAGTTTCCCGGCGTACATCTTCAAGTTTTTAGAGCGCAGCTCTTAGGGGCCCGTTCCCGGCTTGAGCAGCGTCGCCGTCGGCGTCGGCGTAACCAAGGTCATCCCAAGGTCACGTGACCCCAAGGTCACGTGACACCCAAGGTCACGTGACCCCTCCCCAGGGTCACGTGACACCCAAAGTCACGTGGCTCCCCAAGTCACGTGACCCCCGGGGTCACGTGACCGCCGATGACGTCATCAGTGACGTCACTGATGACGTCATCGGCATCCGCATCGTCAGCGTCATCATCACTGATGACGTCATCAGTGACGTCACTGATGACGTCACCGGCATCGTCATCGTCATCATCACTGATGACGTCACCGGCATCCGCATCGTCATCATCACTGATGACCTCACCGGCATCCGCATCGTCATTGTAATCATCACTGTTGACGTCATCAGTGACGTCAGTGATGACGTCGCCGGCATCCGCATCGTCATCATCACTGATGATGTCACCGGCATCCGCATCGTCATCGTCATCATCGCTGATGACGTCATCAGTGACGTCACTGATGATGTCACCGGCATCCGCATCGTCATCATCGCTGATGACGTCATCAGTGACGTCACTGATGACGTCATCGGTATCCGCATCGTCATCGTTACTGATGACGTCATCGGCATCGGCATCGTCACGTGACCCCCCTGGTCACGTGACCCCCACCCAAGGTCACTTGACCCCCCCCGTACCCTTCCCTCCTCCTCCTCCTCAAGAGCTGCGCTCTAATTCGGCGTTGCAGGGAGTTGTAAACGGCTTTCACTTTTTTGCAATCCCCTCCCCTTTTTTCTTTGTTTTGTTGTTGTGGGAGGGGGGGGGATATTGAATTTAAAAGTCGGGAGTTTAGGCACGTTAGGCGGGTCTAGACTCCCGACTGGCCTAGCCTAGAGACTCTAGCCTGCATCCAGTGACGTCAGAAGTGTTCGGGAAATGCGGGCGTAGCGATTGGAGGAGGATTTGCATTCCTTTCTTTCGCACTCCTTTTTTTTTATTTTTTTTATTTTTGCTGAAATTTGGAAGGTAATGAGAACATCAATGTGCAGAGTAGTAACAGGGTGGAGAATAAAAATCAAGTTGATTTTAATCGTGAGTTAACTCAACTTGATTCAATCATGGCGATTTGAATAAAAGCTTTTCCGAAAGAAATAATCCCAAAAATACCTTTTTATTTACTCTTTGTTTATCACTTGATGCTTTCTATCTGCCCTCGTCTTGTATAAAAAAATAATCAAGCAAAAAAAAAAAGAAAAGCAGGTTGAGCGCGAACAATGTTTCTGAACAAATCAGAGCGTTGTGCTTTCTTTCTTCTTTTATTTTCTAAGTGTTAGTTACGTAATGGAGCTACAGCAAGCGAGTCAAAACGCTCAAGAAAGAAACCAAAACAAGGAATGTAATTTCCTATGCAAACCAATCAGAACGAAAAAGAGAGTAATTACAAGTTTTTCTCAAACTTTAAAAAAAAAAAAAAAAAAAGTGTCTTTTGTTTTAGTATGGCGGGTTTACATCAATAAAAAGTTGTAAATTAAACTGTGCTTAAAAAGTTTAAATGTACAGTAAATCTACCCTCTGTTTTGTTTTTAGTGATCGAACGAATTGATCAATCAATTTATAGTGTTTAAAAATACTTATAGTGATAAACAAACGCTATTTTTCTATCACTGTGATTTAAATCAAAATAATCTGATTTAAGTCAAATAAACCTGGTTTACTTAATTTTTTCAAGAAAATTCTGATTTTTTTTTCACCCTGGTATTTAGCAGTGTTGGGTAAAGTACATCTAAAAGGTATTTCAAGTAAAACACAAAGTAAATGAGACCGGATGTACTTCAAATAAAGTAGTAAGTACACTGGGTGCAATGTACTCGTACTATAAATACAATGTACTTTCGAAGTGTAAAGTGCCCTTTCATTCTCCTATACAGTAATTTTTTAACTGGTATGCATTGTCCAGGTGTACTAGGGTGCATGACTTATTTTTAAAAACAGCGGCGAATATTTGAAAACGTCAAGTGGCCACAGAGCAGTTATTTTCAGGAATGGAGCCAAATCTTCGGAATTTGGCGCCGATTGCACTGGATATTGTTGCACCCAAAGGGGTTAAATGACGCATGACGTCAGCCCCGTAGCTTCCGCAAGCTGGTGATAATTAATCATTATGTGACTCCTGTGATTGGGGTGCAAAAAAATTAGGGAACTTTGAAGTCGAAGGAGAAGACAAAAGAGGATGTCTCAAAACCACGAGACGTTCTCCTTTGTTGTCTTCTTCGTCGACTTAAAAGTTTCTTACATTTTCTGCACTACAGTCTCGGGTGCTACATTATAATTATTTTGCGCTTCTACTAGTTTAAACATGTTTGCTTGCGCTGACCGACCGAGAAGTAGCGGGAGTTCAAAAAGCCACTGGAAAGCCGCCCCCAGAACACATGGAGCCAGGGCCGTAACCAGGGGGGGGGGTTCTGACCCCCCCCCCCCCCCCCGAAATTTTTTTCTGGGTATGGCCCTGGTCGGTGCACTTGCAGCCAGCCGATTTTAATCTCCACCTCTGCGCACGCGCAATGGCACCGGTCGGCTACCGGGTACCAAACCGGGACCGGTTCTTCAGTTTGCTATAACTCGCCATTATATGCCACTGATGCACATGATTCATAGGCAAAAATAAGACAATAGACATTTTCAAAATGGCCGCCGTTGCCCCTGAAACCCCCCCCCCCCCCCCCCCCCCCCACCGAAATTTTTTTCTGGGTACGGCCCTGCATGGAGCGATGCGTCGTCTGCTTGCGTTTCTGGTGAGAGTAGAATATCCGTCCCAGTATTTCTTTGGAGTTGACAAAGCATTATTTCGTGATACAAATTTAACAAAATCAAATGTGGGGAATGTACTTTGAAGTCAGGAATTGTACTTTCCTCGGAAAGTACCAGAAAAAAAAAAAAAAAAGATACATTAAGTAAAGTGCAAGGACATGCTCAGAGAATTTGTACTTCAAATAAAGTACAAATTTCCTAAACCTACTTGAAGTAGTTCATTAAGTACAATGTACTTAAAGTACTTCCCAACATTGATATTTAGTAGCACCAATGTGCACAACAAAGCGCTTGCTCATTTGTGGTCTGATAAGGGTCTGTGCAGAGAAGCTGTCAGCTGAGAAAAGAAGCAGATTAAGGATTGAGGTGAAGCCAACTTTTGGGATAAAACTTTATGAGCACCACTATACATACAACACTTATACATGCACAGCTGATTTGTGTTAATGCGTGTGCATTGGAAACACTGAAAATAAATTAAAATCCCGGGAAAGGGGTAGTTTTTAATGCGGGTGAAGGCAGCTTTAGGGAGATCTCAAACCATCCGCATTATGGCAACTTTTTGGAGATTCGGTGTTGAATATCATTTTCATAATCCACAAAATCACCGAGAAATTTGATTTAAATCGTTAAAAAAAACACAGATTAAAAATATTGGTAACTTAGTGGCGCCCACGATATATATTTTTCTTTCCAAGATGAAGGCAATTACTTTTTTTTTTTTTGATTTGCATAGCTATTCATATTGCCTGGGCCGTCAGATATCAAGCAGAAAACATCGTATACATATAAGGCGTTTAGAAGAGACGTTTTCTGCCAAGCGAATTACTATACTGCCATTTTGTTCTGCCCATTTGTACTCATTGCATGTTTCTCAAAAGGAACACACCTAAATAACACCTTTTCTTTTTTACTTTCTCAATTTGTTTAGCGAATTTTTGGTAACTTTTCTTATTAAAGTTTAATTGAATTACAAACTTTTGCACATTATACATCATTTTGCACATTAAAAACCAATTTACAAGTTCTCAGCCCAGCCTGCAATAGCCCAGCACGCGCGTGTTCGTCGCTTCGGAAAGCGAGCAAATCACGCGCCATACACACGAACACTGAAAATGGTACCGGCCAGGAGCCCCTTTTTAGAAAGGTCTATGTATGCGAAGCGCAAGTTCGTCTGCTTCTTGCACAGAAGTGCAGAAAGTGCAAGAAGTGAAAAAAAATAAAAAATAAAAAATGGTGGGTAAACTGAGACATTTATCGATGAGACCCACACACCATCCTTTCAATCAAATTCAGTCACAGCTCGGCGTCGTTCTGACGTCAAACCAACAGCTGCGCAAGAGACAGACGACTTGCTCTAGCTAGCTGCGCATAGTCCCTAACAGAATGAGAATAACAGGGCATTTCGTTCGAACGCCCGGCCTCTAACACGCGCTCCATGTTACGCCTTTCCGCCTTGCTTTGGCTGGATACACGTGCAACAGGGGCAAAACGCAAGGGACACCGAAGAGTTGTCGAAGGTAGGAAACTGGTGCTGGAGGCTCTTCCCTGCCGTTCTCACCTTGCCAGTGACTATAATTTATATATCACAATGAATTAGAGTTTTGCTATTTTCTTCCCTGTTTTGACGCCATCGCCTACAACGTCTCTAGCCTAGGTGCAACTTTTTTAATGCGAATTCATTAACTGTCAAATGAAGCTAACCGGCGTTATCAGCTTTTGAAGCCGCGCCGAACGGCACCTAAACTCCCATGTCCCAATGGAGCGAACCTGACGTCTGTAGCAGCGATCTGATGGATAGGCTCCCATTGGCTGGCGCGCGTCAGTTTCAAGGAATGAAACTCCCATTAATTCTCGCGCAGCGTAGTTACAATAAACGCCACCAAAGAAGCCCTCTCCATGGCGGCGAAGCGGCCCAGCAAACGGTAAGAGCTGGCCGCCGAGCCAGCAGGGCAAGCAGGGCGGCAGGGCCCGCACGGGCAGACTCCGGAGTGGCTGCACGGCCGAGCTCTGCGCAGCGCGGCCACTTCACGAGAGCGCGCGTTCGGCCGCTACCTCAGCAGTAGCGAAACGTGGCCGTCCACGCCAGGACGCCGCAGACAAACTGAGGAGCGGAAGAACGACATTCATGCTTTCGCATTCACAACTCATAAAAAGTGCTTAAATGTCTTTTTTTTTTTCTTCTTTTTTTTTTTTTTTTTTAATGTAAACATCTTGCATGGAACAAAACGAAAACCTGAGCCGTCTGCAGCGCCGTGCTGGTTTCGTTTTTGTATCCTATTGGATCGCGTTGGCTTGTAGCCGCTCAGCCATAGCCATAGCCGTTATGACAGATCCCAATGTTTGCCACGTGTAGCGTCGTGTGGCCAAGATTTCACCGGCTTTGAAGTGGGCGATAACTGCAAACGCCGGCGGCCGGCGAGCATGCAACGAGCGCTTCACACATTTTCAACTGTGCCTCGCTTTCTGTAGATGAAGTGCATCCTAGACATCGCTCGTTCCGTAGGTGCTTCCATTCCACTGACAGAACCGGTCATTTCGGCTTGATCGGTCGCAGTTTCCCGGCGCTCGCGCTGCCAACTTAATATCTTAGGCCTAGGTGAGCATCTCATTCGCCTTTTAAACTTGTTCGTTGAGTGTTGACGCTTGTTTTGGGGGTATTTCTTGGTTTTATTGACTTCCTGAAAAGGGCTGTGCACAAGAACGACCTTGCACGAGGGCTATTTGTCGTGTAATGATGACGCCAAAAAATGAGTAAGTGAGTCCGCTCGCCCCGGCGAAGTGACTCGCTGAGTGTTATCGTGTAGTCTGCATCAAATATCGTTACACGTAAGCGTCTATGTTGCGCTGGCGGGAGCTTTGCTAGCTTGGTGCGTAGCTTTGACCTAGCAGTGCCTTAAAGGAAATGATCATTTTGTGCTATGGGCACGCGTGATGTATGATCAATAAGCTGTATATGACATATGACACGCAAATAAACCCCATCTATCCATGAAAAAAAAGAAAAAAAAAAAGTCCGTATGATATCTTTATTTTTGTTTCCGAATATATGGGGCACGTGCCACGCGACGAATGAAAAAAAAAAATGTTTTTAAGGATATACGAACATGGACATGTGTTTAAGGTTGTGGGCGCAGTCAAGCAGGAAAAAAAAAAACGAGAAATCGACTCACCTATGACTGCTAGATCTTGTTTGGTGTGAGAAACTAGAAGTTGGAATGCTTTATTGCCCGGGGTGGCCAGAGTGGCATAGCGCAGGAGTGGCACATAAAAATGATTCCCCGGAGAAATAGTAACTATAATTTTTTATATTCACATTTCGTCCAATATCCCGGTGACAGGTGCCTACGGTAACTTTTTTCTTTTCTTTTTTGTTGCAATGCAGGTCAGGCAGTAATTGCTCAAGATGAGTTCAACAGGCTCCGTGCTCTACAAGCGCTCGTCATGGTGGGTACGGATGAACCCCGACAAGCAGGAGACGCTGCTCAAGATGTCCATCCTCTCCATGGCTGCCGTCCTGTGTAAGTGTCCCTCTTCCGCTTGCACCGGTCTGCTGTGACTCTAGAACAGCATTGAAAGGAAACCCAGCCATAGATCTCGCAGACTCCTAAATCAAGTGATAGAGAAATATTTGCTCTAATCTAGAATTGACAAGTTGAATTTCCTAGGTTGCAGGTTTAGAGTAACAGAATAAGCCCCTCCCACAAAGCTGTCTGCTTGCCGTGATTGGTGGCTTCCTCCTGTCCACCCGTCCCCCTCTGCACCTTTCGCCCTGCTAAAGTGGAAAGGGCAGAGGGCTCTAAGGAGGAGTTTGTCCCGCTATTCTAAACCTGCAACAGGCTATGGCGGAAGTACGAAAGGTGCCACAAAACTTTGACTTCAGTGGTTGCACAGGCCTCGCACGAGATGTTTGTTTCACCTTTTGTTGCTGCATGCTCATCAATGAAGTGACTCATCACCTGAGGTGTAAACAAGCGTCACATGGTGCAGTCGAACCAATGGCATATGGTGGTCACTCTCGGGATGAGAACGACAGGGAGCTCCCTCGATCGTCCTGGCTCTAGCACGAGCCGTAGCCAGAATTCTACAAAATACAAGGAACGCGTTCTAGAGGCCGAGAGTCTAAAAGAGATGCCCGCCGTTCTCGTCCTGTTGGTAACCGTAGTAACCCTTCAGCCGACTCTAGACGAAAGCCCGCTTTGAGAAAAATGTCCTCCGGCCTTGCAGCATTCGTGTGCCGGCTGTTCTCGGTGCTGCGCTTCGAGAGCGTCATCCACGAGTTCGACCCCTACTTCAACTACCGGACGACGCGGTACCTGGCCGAGGAGGGCTTTTACAGCTTCCACAACTGGTTCGACGACCGGGCCTGGTACCCGCTGGGCAGGATCATTGGCGGCACCATCTACCCTGGTGAGACCGCCGCCGGGATTTGATACGTCCCTGCACTCGTTGCGGTCAGACTTCATTTCATCAGAAGTGCAAGCACAACTGAAGCTTTGGAGGCCGGTTCGCCAATTTGCGTTTGAGTGCAACTGAGTGTGTACTCGACCACGTCGTAAGCACTTGAAATGGCTCACGACAGAGCGTGTTTGCGATTTAATGGTAGACGCCTCCTGCGCAGGTTGGGTGCACGTCTGCATGCAGATAGAGCAAGGCATCCTCGCTACGTCGGCACTTGCTGCAGTGTTTCCCAAACTCTGCTACCCTGCAACCCACCAGAAAAAATATATTGTGTAGTGTCCCCCCCCCTATAAAGATTATTGTGACGCCACCCGACTTCTCTAGTTCAGCGCATAAACAGTAATACAAAAAATTAATACTGAAATTTTATTTGACAGTTAAATATAGGCTGAGTGACCAGCTAAGCTAAAAACCGTCGCAGAAAAGGACACTTGCTATCAGGAGTGACTGTTTCTAATGACTAAAGCGAGCTTGCTTGTTAAAGCACATTAATTGGAAATGAAGGTAGTGTATGATCACTGCGACTCTCAGTTTGGGCTCGATGTCGAGCTGCGACCTGTACTTTGTTTTCGCGGATACCACCCCAGTGAAGCCAAGTTTGCATTTGTTTTTCCGAGCCGCTTCGTAACCCCCCACTGAATCCGTCGCAACCCACGGTTTGGGAAACACTGCATTACCAGTATTACAAGCATACTTCGACTTTGCTTCACCCTATTCTTATTTTTGACATATCAGTCTTTAGTATTGGGCCTTGGTAGGTCCTACAGTGGATAGTAGCTAAACCTTCATTGCCGGACAATCAAAGAGAAAACCAATGTGCTTCTTTAAATTATGCGTCCTCACGTTTCCACGTCTCTCTGCAATGCCTTCACTGTTGCCCAGGTTTCTTATTACCATTGTTTCCTGTTTTTCCCACCTCATATCACGGAAGCTGTGATTGGGTCCAATGGGAATTGTCCGTTTTTTTTCTGCTCAGGTTTGATGGTCACGTCAGCAGCACTGTACCACGCACTCCAGTTCCTCCACATTACGGTGGACATCCGTAATGTGTGTGTTTTCCTGGCACCTTTCTTCTCCAGCCTGACCACCCTGGTCACTTTCCTGCTTACCAAAGAGCTCAGGGTGAGTGGTGAGGGTCAGCGCCGAAGGCCTGTCACCCCCGAGAAAAAAATTGCCCATTCAGGTCACTCTTGTGCGTTCATAATCTTAAAAATGCGACTAAACAAGGAGCTCGACTAAATGAAGCTATGTTTGATTAATTCTACGTGTGCATTGTGCAATGCTACACAGGTGTGTCAACATCAATTTGCATTTGGAAGCCTCTTTTCCGTTGGGTACTCTTTGAAGTAAATGATAATTAAGGTCTTTCTATCTCAAAGTGCCTTTAGATTCCTGTGGCAGTTTGTTTAGACCAGATTATAATTTCTCGTGCCAACTAATCCGCAAGTGTGGTGACAACAAAAAAAAAAAACAGAAAATGCAAAATAATGTATTCTGGCGAGCCAGTTCCTTTAAAATCAAACGAGCCAGCTGCACTCATGTTTGAATTCAATTTTGTCAACCAGTATAGCTACAGTTTTTGTGTCAAAAGCATGAAGGTAGGAAGAAGAGGAGGGCCGTGTACTGGCTCAAGCCAGCCAAACAAGAATATCCCAAGTGAAGCCGGAAGTAGAGGACGCGGTCGGTGGGAATGCCCCCAAGGGTGACCAAAAGCCTAGCCAAAACTGCTGTCCTTTCCATCCAATAACGTCTTTTGGTTTTGGTCATCGTTGGGGGCGTGTCCCGCCAAACTGAAAGTCTCCCCCGGCTTCACCTCTGATGGCGTCATGTCGCCTCCAGAAGCTTCCCACCTCCATGGTCAGAAGCCTCGTGCAAGCTTTCTGTTACTGTCTAAATAAATAGATAAAAAAAAAAAGGCATCTGGAAATCAGATTGTAATGTTGCCTGTTTTCTATACAGTGTATATCCCAAGTTCCATAGCATTGTTTTGCATCCCTTCAGCTTTGCTTAGTCTTGTTTTTATTGTAAAACTTCTGAATTTACTATCTTCTTTCTTTTTTTGTGCAGGACACATCCTCCGGCCTGGTGGCAGCCGCCATGATCTCCATTGTTCCTGGCTACATTTCTCGGTCGGTGGCCGGCTCGTATGACAATGAGGGCATTGCCATCTTCTGCATGCTGCTCACCTACTACATGTGGATCAAGGCAGTAAAGACTGGAGCCATCTCGTGGGCCGCCCTTTGTGGACTGGCTTATTTCTACATGGTGAGAATGTCTGTACTATGTGGAGATGTAACATGGGCAACATTGGTGCGGTGGTAGCACAATGTCAGTGATAGGTTGGCAACATTGGCACGATGTTGGCATAATTTGTCATCCCGGTGATATCCCACACCACCTGGTGATAGTTACGAGATTGCAGAGGGTAAACAAATTGGCAAAGGAAAGAAATCATACTTTTGGTTCTTAATTTCTTGGCTAGGTGGTGCAAGCTACCGTCCGATATAAAGGGCACAGCCGTTAGCATCTATCCATGCATCCATAATCTTGGTGATAAATTGTCAGCATTTGCCGGGTGACTGCCTTCTGTCGGTAATAGGTCGTGAGCATTAACCTGATGGTGGCAACAGGATGGCAGCATTGACCAAATATTGGCATAGTGGTGGCAATATGTTGGCAAGAGCTTGGCAAGAGGTGAAGCTCCAGGCAAAGAGCAGGAGAGGCCGTGGAATCGCTACGGTCAAGGCCCTCTGGGGGATACAACCGGTACAAAATGACCCGTGCAGCGTAGAAGATGGTCGCGGTGCCGGGGCTTGCGTTTGGAAATGGCATGCTGCATCATTCGTCATGAATCCGGGAATGCCTTGAGGCGCGACAGATAGAAGTTAGGCGGGCAACTCTGGGGGCCGGCAGAGGAGCACGAAACGAGGCCGTACAAGGTGACATGGGGTGGGCCAGTTTCGATGCCAGGGAGGCCCGAGCAAGTCTATGTATTGAGCGGTGCCCTAGTAGTATGAGGAAGTGCGCTGGGTGGGACAAGTGTACAAATATGTACACCTGAAGAGCATCTCGACCTAATGGGTGCATCGAGCGCGCCAGCTGTCCCCAAGGTATGGCGTGAGCGACCCCCTCCTCTACCCGGCCGAAGAACAGCAAGAAGGACAACAGGAAGACGTACGGGCCAGGGTGAACAAAAGAGAGACTCAGCGGTGGGCTGAGACACCGGCACAAAAGTCGGTGATTACCCTGTACGCTAGAGAGAAGCATCCAGGAAAGTGGACTCGCACTCCCGCTATTGTCTGAGACGCGCCCCCTCCACTTTCTTTCTCCTCCTTTTCTCAGTTTGCGCGCCTATGAAACGGTCGTCTTCTCCTTCTTGTCAACTGCCGGCTCGTCTGCTTTGTTCCTTAAGTAGAGCGCACGTTTTTAGTTCCCATTTTGCTCACTTAAATTGAACATAGATTGTTGCCTTGTTTTCTTACAAAGCTGTGGGTGTTTCATTTTGAGTCCTGGAGATGTGTGGGTTGATGCTCAGTTGAAAGTGAGTATGTGGCGAGCTTTCGGAGGAAGAAACATGCCTTGAAAGAGACGCCAAAGGTTTCTCTCGCAATTGCGCCACTGCCATCGGCACCGCCGGAATCGTCGGATATGCCGGGAAGATCGGCCGGGTCGCCTGCCGAAGACATCCCGGGTTCAAGCCTACCACAGGCCGTTTCTTGAGCTCAGGAGGTATGGTGCGAGTCGACTCCACTACCACTCTGTGGCCGAGCAGGCACAATCTGTCCAACGAGAGGAGGAATACAAGCGTGCCTTATTGGAAAAGTCGGCGACTCGGCACAAGTTTAATCTTCTCGGCGTCGATGCAGGAGGCCGGACAAGCAGTGCGGGGGGCAGTTAATTGCCGTGAACACAAAGGTCTGGAACGACCTCTTCGTGCAGACGAAGTGTGGAAGCTGCAGTGCGGGAACACCGACGATGACCGAGGCTACAAACAAGGAGTGTAGCTTAGCAGTCAGACTTTCACTCGTCTGCACCACATGCGAGTTCGAGAAAACAAAGTTCTTTTCTCAAAGAGTATCCATAACAGCAAAGATCGCTCCTTTCGAAGTGAACGTGCGGGCCACGAATTGGGATTCGGTCCCGTGCACAAACTCGTCCTACCGTGCGTGGCCTACACCACAAGACCTTCAACGGACACTCAAAACTTTTGTGCCTGCCTGCAAAAACTGCAAGTGCAAGTAAAGCTGCCAGTGTAACGGTTGTGAAGAAGCTGCATGCTTCTTTACAACTGCCTCAGTGTATGCAGACTTCTCGAACCCTGTTGCCAACATCGACGTTGTCTTTGATGGATCCTAGATTACCAGGGTACGCAGCTCCTACCTTGACATGCGCTGCATCGTCGAACTGTATTCGGGCCTGGCCCTCGGTAACATGTGGTCTACACAAACTTTTGCCTCGGTTGTGCCCTGGGACCAAACCCGGAGGAAGAGGGGTACGGGGACTGGTACACAGCCTCCGAATGTCGAAGGAACATCGACTGTAAAGCTGGTCGCACGGAGGTTGAAGCTGCATTGACCATGTTTCAAAGGTCCCTGGCGAAGCAGGGAATGTGCTACACCGCCGTTCTCTCGGATGGCGGCAGTCAAACCTTTCGTGCGTTGACAGAGGCAGAAGTGTATGGCTTTGTCGAAGTTGAGAAGAAGTTCTGTATCAATCATCTCTACAAGCAGATGGAGGCTGGCTTGCGCAACCTCGTGGACAAGAATAAAGCTCTAGGCAAAGCACTTGGTGGAAGGGGCAAGCTGGCTCGGGAGAAGCTAGAGATCCAGGACTACTATGGCTATGCTCTCAGGAACAACAGCAACCACGCATGTTCCGGGGATGCAGAAGGCAGTTGAGACGGCCCTCCTGCACATGGTGTCCACGGACAGCACCCCAGACCACAGCAAGTATCCCAATGGAGCCGAGTCCCGGTGCAGGTTCAACAGGGCCTTGGCAAACAGTGAGTCTCCTCCACCGCACAAGAATCCGCTTCCGGATTGTGTTCGGGCTGCACTTGAGCCCGTGTCGGCAACGAAGATCCACTGGCATGGTGCAGTGAGGGCAAGACCCAGAATGCCGGCGAGAGCCTACATTCGGTCATCGAGATGCAGACGTCCAAAAATGCGAAGGCCTCCCTGGACAGCGTGAAGAGGGCTACAGCTGAGGCTGTTGCCGCCTACAACCGGAGAAGGAGGTTGACCAGTGAGTTCATTGCCGTGAGCCTGGGCTATGCAACCGGTAACTGCCTCGAATGCCAAAGTGTGGAAGAGGACAGTCTCCGTTTGCATAAGGCAAATGCTGCACACCAGAGCAGCAGCAGCGCAAAGGAGAGTACGCCAAGTGACACGAGGCAGGAGCAGCTCAGGATTTTAGCCCCGGACAGTTGTAAAGGCACTACACAGACCAAAGGCCCTTTTTAGGGCCCAACAAAATTGTGTTTGGGGTCTCTAACCTTTTGCTGACCCCTTCCGTTGTCTCTCGTAAAATCAACTCATTGATTCGGCAAATTTTTTTTTATTGTATTTTTTTTATTAGTTAATTCAAGCACGTTATAATAAATACTTAAAATCGAAATAATAAAAACGTAAAAGACATGAACAAAAACAAGATCATCAAGGCTTTCCTCACTGAGAATGCAAGAAACAATGTGTCATCGGCTTCTCTAACATTATCAAGACAGGAAATAGGATTTCTTAAATCAGAGCTGTAAAAATCATGGAACTCAACTTAGAAGGAACAGACATTACTACGACACATTGCTTTGCTTGCTTCCCCCACCCCTTTCCTTTGGTTTCCCAATCCCATTCCCCCTCTCCTCTCCTCCCCCCCTTATCTGCATAAAAGTTTAGAGTAAAACATGAAGTTTTGTCACCAGAATTAAACATTGTTGCTATTTGAAAGAAAGTGGTCATCCATGTGCGTCTTTTGTGTTTTTATTCTTTCATATTTAAGTTTCTTTTTAAGTCTCTTAGAGGTTCCCATGTATAGATACAGTCGATTTTATCTCAATTTTTTTCAGAAAGAACTACTCCAGATATTGAGAAAACTTATTGCATAGGATCCGTCATACAATTTTCTGCAATCACTTTCAAAACTTCAGCTACGATTTACTCAGCTTCTCATTTTATGTCTTTATTCTTAGCCTTATGGAGGTTTTGAAAGGTTTTTTTTTGAAGGATTTCTATAAACATTATGGCATTTAATTCAGAAAGAGTGAACTGTGAAGCTATGCTATATTTGTATGGCTGGATGCACTTGAACAAGTTTTGTTAGGGATAATGTGACCTCGTTATATTTTATAAATAGGGTACTTGACATAGTTAGACTAGGTAATCTTTTTGACAAAAAGTATAGATAGCATAGGTCTGCTTGGCGTGTCTTTAGCTTCCAATCCACATTACTTATAAACACAAATTTCTTATTAAAAAGGACCTTAAGGGGATGCTGAACCGAAATCTGGATTCCCCAAAACGTGCGGCAAAAGCATGCAACGGGATGCTACAAGCACCAAAACATCACTCATACAGCGATATCTCGAACGGATGACCGTATTTTTTTAAAGAAAGAGGCGCATTTGGAAGGAATATTGACGTCATGTTTTTCCGAGAAGGAGAGGGAACGGCCTCGCGTCTTCTCCGCCTCGCGGCCTTGAGGGAGCGAAGCGAAGAGAGGAGGAAACTAAGTGTCTTGACGTCATGCGCCTCGTCGGCCTGGTTCAACCTCGAGCTCTTTTTCCAAAAATACGGCCGTCCATTTGAGATATTGCCTTACTAGTAGTGTTGTAGGGTTGGTAGCATCCCGCCTACATCTCCAGCATTGTTTTTTTTAAATCCAAATTTCGGTTCACCATCCCTTTAAAGCCCCATAACAAATTAACTAATTAGGCTTCATAATTCTTTATGTAACTCGAAAAGTAATTCAGACGTCAAATCCAATTGCACACTTGAAAAGAGGGTGACAAAACACATAGACAGTAATTTTCATTACAAGATGTGCCTAAATAGAAAAGTTAATTTTACAACTTTTTTTTTTTACCCGTTCGTCATTGCAATTGTTCAGTGCTGCCCCGGCCCCCAGTGGATGGGTTCCCCCATCACTTCCGCCGATTCAAAAGGGGTCTTCTAAATATCTGTGGTTGAGAACCACTGATCTATTGAACTAAGCTGCCGTTGTTCGTAGTCGGAGAATTCCAGCTCCGGGCCGATTGCCTGACCGACCTCCCTCTGCAGGTGTCGTCGTGGGGAGGCTACGTCTTCCTCATCAACTTGATCCCTCTGCACGTGCTGGCCCTGATGGCTACCGGACGTTTCTCCCACCGCATCTACACTGCGTACAGCACGGTGAGAATTTCGTCTTGTGCAGGCTCTGCGCTTGTGTGACCTGTGTGTGTGTGTGTTGTTCCCCTTTCTGTTCCTTGGTCTCGTGTTTACTTGACTGTGAAAGTTCACCAATTCGTGTGCATGTTCTCTGTTACTGTTACCGTTCATACAGTGTTGGATAAAGTACATCTAGAAAGTACTTGAAGTAAAGTACAGAGTCAACCTATAAAGCACTTATTTGTTGAAAAATCATAATTTGGTGATACAAATTTAAGAAGACCGAATTTGGGGAATGCAGTTTGAAGTTGATGTGCTTTCCTCGGAAAGTACCAGAAAAAATAAAAAAGTAAAGTACAAGTACATACTCAGAGAATGTACTTCAAGTAAAGTACAAGTTTTCTAATCCTACTCGAAGTAGTACTTTAAGTACAATGTATTTGAAGTACTTCCCAACTCTGCTTTTATAACACTAATTCACAGTTATGCTTTATGACTTGTTTGTGCGGTGGAGTTGTTGCTGTTGGCTTTTTTCTATCAAAGTTTGCAATTTCTGCCGTCTGGTGAAGTGAAACTGCAGAAACTTTTGTGAAAGTGTAGGACAAGTAAGAAATCTGTGACATCACTGACCACTCCTCTGGGTTGTAGAAGAGCACATATTTTTGAAAACTATCATTTCTTCATGCTTTATTTTTTTAAGACTAAGGTGAAATATTTTCTTAACATGTTAGTGACATCCTTTAGGAGTATAATGCAGTGATGTCTCGTTAATATGGACACCTGTGTTCCCCCCATAACGTGCCCGTAATGTGTGTTGTCCGTAATAAAGACGAAAATGTATGCATTTACCTTTACCCAATCCGTCCCTGAAAATGGTGCCTACAAAGCGGGGCATCTATAATAATGAGGCTTGCATTACCGAGATACGAGCGTATGCACACTTCTGACTGGGTTTGCATCGAAGGTACATGTTGTAATCTAGTGTTCTGATTTCTCTCTGTTTTGTTTCTGTTGCAGTTGTATGTGCTGGGGACACTGCTGTCAATGCAGATCTCTTTTGTGGGCTTCCAGCCCGTCCAGTCCTCTGAGCACATGGCTGTGAGTGCAAGCTTTGCTCTTTTCTTTTAGAACTTAAGAGTTCCCAGCGGTTTACGCTTTCATTTGTTATTTGAGTATGCTTCGTTGCCAGACCAATGATTGCTCAGTTGGTCGAAATTGCGTAGCAAGCCGTCACGTACCAAGCCACTTAGGAATTTTACGGGATATGAAACGTGCGCCACCTGAGACGGGTGCTTAGTATTTTATAGTGTGTGCTCGATGCTACCTTCTAAAAATTTTCAGCAGAAAAATGGTGCAGGGCATTTTCTACCATTTGTTTTCTCTGCAAAAGTTGTGCTTGTTAAGGTTGCCAGACACCGTTCTGTTGTTGGGAAGGGAGTTCACCGTAACGAGCCTTGTATGTGCTAACCAGTGCAATGCATTCTTTTACAAAGCGACATTATTACATGTAGTGATTTTTTTAACGCAGAATGTGTTTTATGGGTCGTTTTTTACGAGAAAATTGCCATGAACGGGCGTCATAGCGAGTGCCGTGAACGAGTGACACACTGGGAACATTGCAGATGTTAAAATTATGTATGAATAGAATCTTTCGTTTTTGAGCTTATATTTTAAAAAAAACGGGGGTAACAATCGGGTGCTCTGTTCCAAAATGGTACTAATCGGGTTTTTCAATAAATTATTTTGAAATCCGGGCTTTACAGGTAATCTTTAATAATACATGTGTACTGAACAATAAAAGGCATTCATATTCAATATATAGATTTTTTTTTTAGAGCGCAGCTCTTAGGGGCCCGTTTCCGGCTTGAGCGGCGTCGCCGTCGCCGTCAACGTAACCGCGCGGTGCATTATGGGAAGTGTCCCATAATGCACCGCGCGAGCCCCCCCACCGGGGTCACGTGACCTCGTGGGGGGCACGTGACCCCCCCCCCCCCCCCGAGGTCACGTGACCTCGAGGGGGGTCACGTGACCCCCGCCGATGTCGGGTCACCGATGACGTCATCGTCACTGATGACGTCACCGGCATCCACATCGTCATCGTCATCATCACTGATGACGTCACCGGCATCCACATTGTCATCGTCATCATCACTGATGACGTTACTGACATCCGCATCGTCATCGTCATCAGTGACGTCACTGATGTCGTCACCGGCATCCGCATCGTCATCGTCATCATCACTGATGCCGTCATCAGTGACGTCACTGATGACGTCACCGACTTTCGCATCGTCATCATCACTGGTGAAGTCATCAGTGACGTCACTAATGACGTCATCGGTATCCGCATCGTCATCGTCACTGATGACGTCATCAGTGACGTCAGTGTTGACATCTTCGTCATTGGGGGGGGTCACGTGACCCCCCAAGGTCACGTGACCCCCCTGGTTAGTTGAACCCCCCTTCCCCCAGTACCCTTCCCTCCTCCTCCTCAAGAGCTGCGCTCTAATTCGGCGTTACATGGAGTTGTAAGCGGCTTTCACTTTTTAGAGCGCAGCTCTTAGGGGCCCGTTTCCAGCCTGAGCGGCGTCGCCGTTGGCGTCGGCGTCGCCGTCGCCGTCGGCGTCGGCGTCGGCGTAACCGCGCCCCTCCCTCTCCTCCTCCTCCCTCTCTTTCTCCCCCTCCTCCTCCCCCTCCTCCTCCTCCCCCTTCTCCTCCTCCCCTCCTCCGCCCTTCCTCCTCCTCCTCCCCCTCCTCCTCCTCCTCCCCTCATTGTCCGGCTTGAGCGGCAAGGAGGAAAGCAGTACGAAGGTGGAGGAGGGGGGGAGGAGAGACGAGGAGGCGGAGGCGAGGGGAGGGGAGGAGCTTGAAGGACGAGGAGGTGGTAAAGGAGAGGGAGGGGGAGCAGGAGGGGAGGAGGACTAGCAGGCATGATCACGAGGGAGGAGGAGGAATATACCCTCCACTCCTCCTCCTCAAGAGCTGCGCTCCAATTCGGCGTTACAGGAAGTTGTAAACGGCTTTCACTTTTTTATTGCCCAGTTATTGAAGTATTTAAGATAGCATTGAAACATGGTACAAGAGCTCACTTGGGCTTTTCAGTTTTTAATAATCCGTGTCGCTCACATACTCTTCTGCACGCACAGCACCTCTGTGTCTGTCCTTGGCCTGTCTGGCCTTTGGACAAATATGAATTGAGAGAACATTCTCTCAACATCATAGCTTACGCGTAGAATTGCAATGCACAACAATATCACTTCAGTTAGACAGGAACAAAATATCTGCTGTTCGGGGCAGGGTTTTCGTAGCAGAGTAATTTAGAAAATGGTGAAATTCAATTTCTGAGTTGGGGGAAAAATCTAGTTGAACCCGATTTTCAAGAAACATGTTCGGGGTGCAAATAATCGGGAAATATAGGGTTTAAGCCGAAAATGAAGGACCCTATATATAAATTCCAAGCCCTGGTAGAGCTTGGACCTGGGTCGATGTGGCGGCAATCGGATGCTGTAGCCACCGACCTTTTGGCGCAGCTGGTCTGGATGGGGATTTAATTTAAATGCAAACACACTGGCTAGAGTGGCAGGTTCTGGAGCAAAACAGTGGAATAGATAAAAAGGAATGAAATATGAAAATAAAATAATAAAAATATATAAAACGTAAAGAAAAATAATGAAATGAAAAAGGGATAATAAAAAGAATGAAAAAGGTAGCACCGAGGGCACACGGAGCATGATTTGTGCGGGACACATCCTGTGCTCCTGGTCTTTGTCAGCACGATTGAGCCTGTACAGTTGAACCTCGATGTAACGAAGTCGGTAAAATTCGCAATTTACTTCGTTACATCGAAATTTCGCTAAATCGAAATTTGGCTTTAGCATGCGAAAAAAAAAAAAATTCCGAAACATTTTACGGGTATGAAAACTCACCGAAAATGACATTTATTTAGGGGCAAAGTAGTCCGCGAGTTTTGCTTGCGCCTTGTCCGACAGTAGCAGCGGCGTCGGCGGCGTCATACGGCGTTCGAGCGCCCAGAGCGCTTGCACGGCATCTTGCTGCCCATGCGACGCCGTGTATCTCCTCAGTACGTCCATTGCGTCGAGCACTTCCCGAGTGCTCGTGATCTCGGCAGTTTCTTCAGGATGGCGTCCAAAACGTTTGCTTTCTCATCCAAAGAAAGAACTTTACGTTTCCTTATGGCAGCAAGCACGTAAGTGAACCACCCGGTTAAAAAATAAAGCTGTTTAGTTTAGGCGTTTAGGCGGTGCCAATGTTTCCAACCTACACAGCACTCTTGACCGCACAGTTTACTTGCCCCCTTGCGCCCACAGTGTGCTTGCGCCTTTGCTTTTAATCGGTCTTTTCGGTCTTCTCCTAGATGGCACTGCCCGTGCCGTCGCGCGGATCGCGCGGTCGCGCCATCACGTCGCTCCCCCGCTGAAGTTGGCTCCCGCGCTACCCGCGGTACAGTGGACTATGATGATCAGTGAATGTCAGTGGTGATGCTGTTATGCCGTGTTAACTTTTTGCTCGGCATTTTCTGGCCAGCCTCGCGGAATCCGCTTTGCCGCATGCCTCGCCGGCGCTACCGGCGCCGCATCCTCGGGCAGCCTAGGAACGTTGGAAGGCCTGTCCCCGTGAAGTAACCTATCAAGCGCTCGCGTTTGCGCATAATTTTTTTTTTTAACCACAATTTTTTTGCGAAGTTGTTTTTTAGAGTTGATTTATTTATTGCCTTCTATGGCAATGGCGCTTCGTTATATTGAAATAGCAGCAAAATAGAGTTCGTTATATAGGGGCTAAAAATACATGGGGTCTACGGGCAAGAAATTATGAAAAATAAAATACTTCGTTAAATCGAGGATTTCGTTACATTGAAGTTCGTTATATCGAGGTTCGACTGTATGACTTTTTTCTGACTTGGCTGCTAGTGGGGCTTTTGGCACCTTTTCGTTCAACCCTCGGGTACTGTCACCGACCGTATCGTTTTTTGCCGGGAGATGAATCCCCATTGTTTGTTTTGTCAGGAGGTAAGACCGTCCGGGAACCTCGTGAATGCATTTTTCGAGGGAACCAGCGCGTGTAAACGAAAACCGGTATTTCTGTCCCATTCATTGTGAATGTGAAGTGTTTATTCCGAGTAGTATAGTTTGGTTTCATGGTCCCGTTAATAGTAATAATGAAAACGACCTTTACTGGCTCGGGAGAGCCGCGGCATCGCAGAAAGGCAGCAAGCCCTCATTACAAAGGCCTGCGGTGCCGCTTGTTTGGTCGGCGACAGGATGACAGCCCTTTAGATGCTCCGCCCCAAGCGTGAGCTTTCTGCCTTCGGTAGCGTCGCACGTGCAGCCAAAGCTTGGCGGAAAGGCAACGGGCATGCGCTGAAGACGGAGCGTCTACCGGCTTCTTAGTGTGTCACCGATCACAGTGAAGAGGTGATTACGATACGTAACCTCGTGGCCTATGTCGCGTCGCTGTTGTTGCAGGCCCTGGGCGTGTTCGGGCTGTGCCAGCTGCACGCCTTTGTGGACTATGTGCGCTCGAAGCTGCCCCGGGAGCAGTTTGAGCTGCTCTTCCGCACCGTGGTGCTGGCCACGGCGGGGGTCACCCTGGCCGTGGGTGGAGTCCTCACCGTCCTCGGCAGTATCCTTTCGCTCGTCCTCGGAGCCGGGTTGCAAGGCGTTAGGAGCTTGACACTATTTTTCCCTGGGTTAAAGAGAATGAAACTTGCGAGGGAATTTCGAGACATCCAAGGTGCGATACGAAATCCCTCCGTAATAATGAATAGAGAAATGCGTCGGTGCCCATGGAGAATTCTTCGGTGATGTGAAAAACCTTTGAGGTAAGTGGAGGTTTAAGGTAATTAGACTCATAGCTAACAAGCTGCTATTACCAGTAGGTCACCACCTTGTTCTGAACTATTTGCACAAACCTGACAGTTGCGTCGGCAGACTCCCTTCCCATTACTTTTCTCACGTCTTTCCCAGATTGATTTTTCTTGTTTCTAATCCACAGCACGTACACTCGCGTTACAAGCCCACTCTTGACGGACCGCAAAAATCAATTTCTTGACGTGTCGTGCTGCGATTCACTACGGAGGAGCAGCTAGGTGGTGGAAATATAGAGCGAAAGTGTCGAGGAATGAACTTGCCTCATTCAAAAAAGGAAAACCAAACTGTTTTGGGCAGTGTACTGCGGGCACCCGCCTGACTAAGGTTAGGCGGGTGCTCGCAGTCGCGACTTCGTCCCGTTGCGCCCCGTCTTCCTGAGCTCGCGACGTCCGGCAGAGATCTCGCCATGGACGGGGCGCTTCTACTCGCTGCTGGACCCGTCGTACGCCAAGAACAACATCCCCATCATCGCCTCGGTGTCGGAGCACCAGCCCACCTCGTGGTCCTCCTTCTACTTCGACCTGCAACTGCTCGTCTTCATGTTCCCCGTGGGGCTGTACTTCTGCTTCAGCAAGTTGACCGACGCCAACATCTTCATCATACTCTACGGCATCACCAGCATCTACTTTGCCGTGAGTTTCAGCGCCTCTCGTCGCTACGTAGAGTAACTGTTTAGGCTCTGCTTGCGGAGCCAGAGTATTGCGTTCCTTTTCCTCTCGCCGCCAACTCCGTAGTGGTGGACAAGTGGTCACATGCGCTGAGCTGGATCCAACCTTCACGCGGGAAAGCGACCTTGCAAGCACTGAGTTTCGGATTGAGCACGTTTCTCGCTTTGCGTTTGCGAAATATACATCCTACACTACAATTTAATGAACTGCAAGGTTCCTCGACCATTGAATATTTTGTGTAGCCACTGGGTACGGTATAATCACATTTTTTTATAACCTGAGTGACGTTTTAAAATACGCTTCCAAAGTCTGGGAAGCAGAAAACAAGTATGACGATCTCGTTGCCCACGTCTGCGCAGCTGCGGTTCGCGAAGGAATGACGTTTTCGTCGGCTGCTACATTCTACCAAGGGCACAGAGAGAAACAGGAAAGAAACGACAGCGCACGCACGGCACGTCGCCGTGCTATAATTTTTTTTTGCTCCGCACGCCGCAGTACGCCGCCTCACAGCCATGCCATCTGCGCCTTTTTAAAGCTGGAGTTACGACAAGTCAAATCTAATTTTCTTACTGGTTCGTTGACCTGATATATAGGTAGGTGCAAACAAGGTTTTCTTTAGGCAAGACAAAAAAGAAGTGCCTGTGTCCGTGGCATGTGCGCAGACTGGGAGATCGAAGGCTTACCAAGTGGTTTTATATAAATTTTTCGTTTTTTTTCGAGGTCTGAGTAATTGCCAAGTGCAGTGTGATCAAACACTTTCTTCGAGTGAGTACAGTGAAACGGATTAGGTAGGCTTTGCAGTATTAATTGTAATCATAATAAATTTTTTTTCGAAAGGGTAGAAAGCAGGGTTAGTTGGTACGGCATCAAATGCATGCAAACAGTGTGCAAAACACGAGACAAGAAAAGAAATGCGGGAGACAAACAAATGCTCGTTTGTCTCGCATGCTTCTTCTCTAGTCCCAATTTGTTGCGCACACTTTTTCCAACATATTCAATTTCGTTTTCTTCGCTTAAAGTGGGGCGAACGAGTGTCCTCATTGACGAGTCTGGGCCTGGGGCTTTGCCAATGCGCTTTCAGGGCGTCATGGTGCGTCTAATGCTGGTCCTTGCCCCCGTCATGTGCATCCTGGCCGGCATCGGTGTGTCCGCGATGCTCACCACCTACTCGAAGCAGATGGATGCGGTGCCCGTGGACAAGAAGGGGCGCAAGCACGAGGGGAACTACTTCATGCGCAGCGAGGTGCGTGTCCCCCCTGGTGGAGCTTGAAAACGCCTCGTCTATTTCTAGTCAAGCGTTCTTTACGTTGCTCTTTATAAACCTTCGAAGCGGGAGGGGATCGGCCAATGTTCGGTGCAACGCTGCATGGCTCTCCGCTCTCGTTGCAGCGGCAAAGCCATTTTACACAGTGCAGTTTATTTTGCGAAACCATGTGTGCATCATTATTGTGATATCACCGTCATCATTACCACTGCCATTATTCTCTATCATCAGCACCACCACTGCCATCATCATTATCGCCATCACTGCACTTGCACAGTTTTGTGCAAAAAACACTATATGAAATGGCCCTTGCGAATTTGTATGACGCAAACAAAAGCTTTAGTCTCGCGAACGTTCCTCGAGTACCGAATGTTTTTAGAGTGTAGATGAAAGTGCTGTGTCATTCTTGGGAGTTCATCTTTGACACATGAAAGGTATCCATGCGACTGTAGAAAAAGAGGAAGTCCTTCGCTGGAGTTACTATCTTATTTTCCGGACTATCGTTTGTACCCGGCGCATAGTCTGCAAGGGCAAATTAAGGTCGATAAAACAATTTTCCTTGAGTAGTCTGCACCTTGTGCATGTTCCACACGTAACAGAGTTGCGTGCCGCACATCTTGAAAAATTCACGTTTTATTAGCGCACGGAGGAGCTTGTACCGTACAGAAGTCATCAATAATGCAATCTGTCGCTCATAAAATCCACCACATTTTGTCACAGTGACCAATCTCGTAAAATGAATCCTTGCATAGTCTGCAGCTGTAGATAAAGTGGGCTCGTGATAATTATAACTCTGATATTTCATACTTCTGGGCGCTTGAAACAAATTTCAAAATTTTTTGTTGTTTCGCTATGTATTTAATGTATTCATAAGCCGCTTAATTCGAAAGGCGTTTTCATACAATTCATACTTTACATACATTCATGCATAAGAGGTTCTTTTTGTGTGTGTGTGTGTTCATGAATTTTGAATATGTTCATTATGTGTGTGCACGAATTTTCAATATATTCATTGTGTGTATGCAATCCATGTACCCCCCCGCATAATGCCAGTAGGTAATTTGTGTCAATAAATAAATAAATACTTTGTGTCTTTCTGGCCTCTTTGAGTGCGCTTCTTTCCATGCACCGGTGCACTGCAGAGAGGCAACACCCGCGGAGCTTGCTTCCGCGGGTGTTGCTTTTTCGCAGTGCACCGGGTCTGGGTGAGAAGTGCATTCAACGGGGCTGAGAAGACACAATCAGAGGAAAAATTAATTTTTTTAAACAGCCTAGCTGGAAAAAGAGTGTCATAAAACAAAATTTACATTGAAAAATTTTTTTTTGTGGAGCTATATTTACGGTGCAAAACAAATTTATAGTTGGCGCCTACGGGAGCCCCTGGAAAAGTGGCCGCTATGGTGACGTGATGCTTGCACCCTTTTGGGAGATTCATATGGGCTCTAAAAGTTACTCATTAATCTTCGTTTGAAGTGCAACAAAAAAACGAAGATTATTAAGTAACTTTTGGAGCCCCAAGGGAGCTCCTGAAAGAGTGCAAGCACCATGTGATAGGCCTGTGCCAATCAGAAATTTCTGACCGGCACAGGTCTACCACGTGACCAGTGACAGCTCTCGTGGGTGTCAACTAAAACTTCAATTCGCACCGTAAATATAGTTCTAAATATTTTGTTCGCTTGTCGTAAATTCATTTTATGGCATCCTTTTCTTGTCCAAATTGTTTTAAAAAAATGTTTTTCCCTTTGCATGTGTCTTTTAAACAAAGCACACGGGCACCACGCGGAAATTTCCGCAGCAACTTGCACGGTCGCTGTGACGTGGTTGCATGGCATAGGTCCACGTCACAGGGTCCACGCAAGTTGCTACGAAAACTGCTGCGCGGTGCCTGTTATCATCACTCGTGTTTCCCCCGCTTAATAGTCCATGTTAGACAAGTTTTTGATATTTCAAGCTTCTGACAATTCAAACAATTTCTGGCTTCCTGGAGTTTTCATTAATGAGAGCCTACTGTACTCCGCACCAGATAAAACATGTATAGTCAATGGACCATAGTCCAAAAGTATGGTATAACAAGTTGTAGATTTTGCCCTTTCAAATGCGCGAAGTTGTGCCAGAAGTTGCATGACCGCTGTGTGGGACCTTGTCCTTTCCAGGTTGCGCAGGGCTTTGTGGCCATGATGTCCATCCTGCTGGTGTCGTACACGATGCACTGCACGTGGGTGACCTCGGAGGCCTACTCCTCTCCCTCCATCGTGCTCTCGGCCAGGGGCCACGACGGCTCGCGCATCATCTTCGACGACTTCAGGGAGGCCTACTACTGGCTGCGCCACAACACGCCAGAGGTGCAGGGGGAAGGGAAGGGGCTTTCGTAACGCTCTGTTTCACCCGACGACGGACTGCGGTGGACGCTACGAGCCATCCTGGCAAGTTTAGCGTTTCGGACGGATCACGTCCCACGCGTCACGTAACCCCTGCCGAAGGTTACGTGACTCTTGTACAGCCTAGTATTGGCTTCGCTGATTTACAGCGTCTGCTGCGGTTCGTCATCAGGTTGCAGTTTGGCCTTGCTGGCTGTGCTATGAGGCTTTTCTTTAGGACTGTCTGGTCTCTAGAAATTTTCTAAAGGTCCTCGTAGCCTCTTGGAAAAGGGTGCGACAATCGTTGCAGCAACTTTCATTATGACGAATACTGTTCGGAGTTTGGTAGTCCGGCTTGTTTAGTGGTTTCGTGAGTGCTTGGCAAATTGCATGCCATCAGTGCCCATGAAAAGAGCACTAAAGTTCTTTTAGGGGCGAAGCTCCTTAGGGGCTAGCCATGTCCGTATGTCCGTCCGCCGTCGGGTGCACGTGCTCCTGCTCGTGAGCTCACGTGCTCACGAGCACATGACCACGTGCTCCCGTGCTCGTGTAGGGCAAAAAAAAACCGCATCTCCACGTGGCGAATGATGTTGATTGGGGCGAAGCTCTGGTGGTGCTTGTCTGCGTTGATGGTGAGCCACAGCATGCCGAACCTTTCGTTCGTTTCCATCCATGTCAGAAAGAGAATGTGTGGTGTGGAACGTGGTTATATACGCATTTGAGCATTTGACCGCAGCGTGACATGGATGAAAACGAACGAAAGGCTCAGCATGCTGCGGCTCACCGTCTACGCAGACAAGCACCACCAGAGCTTCGCCCCAATCAACATCATTCACCACGTGGAGATGCGGTTGTTTTTTTGAGGTCCTTGTTTTCTGGTCATAGCTCAAATTACGAGCTCTAAGCATCTTAGAAAGCCCGAAATTACATTCACGCGTGGCCGATTTTGTTTATTAAAAAAGTGATCAAAGCTTCCGACACTTACTGTTGGCGCAGAACGAAAGATAGTGCCACCAAGCTTTGGTGAATATGGTCAAACGACAGACAGTGCTTTCTAGCCACTCACGAGCGATGGGTTCCCGCGTGGACGAGCGGCCGACCAGCCCCTCTCGCCCACGCACGAACCTATCGCTCGCGAGTGGCCGACAAGCGCTGTCTGTCGTTCGACCGTATTCAGCAAGGTTCGGTGGCGCCATCTGTCGTTCTGTGCCAACAGTAAGTGTCGAGATTTTTTATCACTCTTTTAATGTGCAAATTGGCCGCGCATGAATGTAATTTTGGGTTTTTAGGATGCTTAGAGCTCATAGATCGAATTATGGCAATAAAACGAGAATCTCGAAAAGCACTTTAGTGCCCCTTTAAGGAACACTGGCGCATTTCGTCTAGTGGTTTTGCGAGTGCTTGGTAAGCTGCACGCTACTAGCGCAACTGGTGCAACGTTCTCGGCGATGCGTGACTGCAGGACGCCAAGGTGATGTCGTGGTGGGACTATGGCTACCAGATCACGGCCATGGCGAACCGCACGATTTTGGTGGACAACAACACGTGGAACAACACGCACATCTCGAGGGTCGGACAGGCCATGGCCTCGTCGGAGGACCGCGCCTACCAGATCATGCGCGAGCTGGACGTCAACTACGTGCTCGTCATCTTTGGCGGCCTCTCGGGATACTCCTCTGACGGTAGCCATTTATTTTTTCAGCCTCTTTACATTCTTTCACGTACCGTAACATTTCGAGAGATTGCCCACCTAGAATCGTAAGTGAATCGGGTGAAAATAAGAAGTAAGCCGACTTTCGGCATGCCATAAAAAAATGAAGGAAATGCTAGTTTTCGATGTTGTGACCTGCTATAACCAAAGACGACTGTCGTTCCCAGTCGGCGACGTTTGCTTATCCCCTGCCGTGGCGAAGTAACACTATTTCTGCCGAGGTCACCCATGGACAGGGCCTTGCATTTACTAGAAGTGGGCTATCTTTTTGTATTCTTGAAAAAAAAGATAGCAATCATGCCAACCATTGGGGTGGGTTATCTTTTGGGGGTTTGGCGTCTCTGGGAATGTTAAGGTAGTATTTTTTCTTCACGGCTATTGAGCTGCAGATAGTCAAACCCATTTATATCGAACTTGCAATCGACCGTCTACCAGTTCGATGTAGCAAGTAATTCAATATAAAAGTTTTAATGAATTTGACAACAAACAAGCACGACACATTTAGAAAAGTTGTTTACTCTCAAAAGAGCGTCTGTATGTCATGAGGGAGGTGCCATGCGGCTGTTCAGTGGCCTCTTCTTTGTTTTTCAAGGTGTCACCAGCTCACCCTCTCCCCGCTTCCACAAAAAAAAAAAAAAAAAAAATGTTTTTTTTTTTTTTTTGGCAGTTGACGTGGTTAGAGTCCCTCAATCTGTTTCCGCTTGTCTTGCAAGTGGCGTCAAATGAGTCAGTGCACGAGGTCCATGTCTCGAGCGGCCCTTGGAAGCGAATGGCGGCGGAGCACCCGCTCGTGGCACGTGTCTTGCGCGTTCCTACAACAATGGTTGGCGGTACTTGAAAGCGTGAATTTTATAAAAAAAACAAAAACTTAAGACGTGGCTGTCAAAAAGAAAAAAAAAAGCCAGCTTGTTCTGCAAGCTGGTTTTTTCCCAACGCAACCGCTCGCATTGGGGAAAAGCCAGCTTGCAGAGCAAAACGGCGTTCTTGGCAGTTCAATCTATACACCAACTCATGTTTGCAAACAAACCGGAGCGCCCCGAGCGCCCCTAGCGGACGCCACCGGCGCCGCGCATGCGCAAAGGGGGTGTGGGCAAAAAGCTCGCCGTCGCCCATAAACAAACCATTGAAATGCGATGTTGTCGGCGCCGGTGTGAGTCCCCGCACTCTTTTTCGCGTTGGAATTGTTGATTCTACGTCCTCCTAACGATGTCTGACTACTTGAGCAGCGTCAGCGAAATTAACGAGGCTCGTTACACCGCAAAACTTCGCGTGAATATTCTGATATGCGGCGATTCATTCCGCGTGGACGCCGCAGAACGTACGCTAAAGCCTGATTCACATGATGAGATTTCGCTCGCAATTTTCAGTAGCGACGTCGCTCGGACTGCAAAAGCGTGAACCGTAGCTGAGATGGTCGACGTCGATACTGAAAATCGCAAGCAGAATCTAACCAAGTGAATCAGGCATAACAAGTCGGTGATGGCCAGTGGTAGCAAGGATCAACATCTTCTTGTATCTACTGTTTACGTCGAGCCTGCTTACCAACCTTCAAACTTAAGTCTTTTGAGGCCTGCACTTAATTCTTATCGCAAGTACCGGGCCCACGTTTGGTCTACGGGCCGGTGTCCTCTAAAAGAGCAGACGACAAGCAGAAACGTTTGAAAGAGCAGACGACAGTTCGAACGACTAGGCGACCGTTTGAACTTGAAGACGCACTGAACGTAGTTCGCAGGTGGTCCGTACAACTTGACGGTTTTCCGGCGTTCATTTTGGAACAAAACAAATAAGTTTGATGGCCAGTAGTATCCGTGAATTTAACCCAAAATGCTTCACGCCCAAGCAATCGTGGTCCGACGGCTTCTGGTTTTCCCTTTTCACTGGACATATCCGCGTTCTCGGACGAACCGAGCGCATGAAACCTGACCTACAAACCTTTCTCGATACTCTTAGTACAGCCCCAGTCGCAGCATTTTGACGAGAAGGCAAATTTTTGTCTAGTTCCTTTCAAAACAACGCAGGAATACACGTCTCAAATGGGCACTTCCGCCCACAGCCCCGGACCGGAAGTGCGTCCGACGCGCCACCACCACGCCGTGACGTAACAGAGATGAGTTCGTGTATAGGGAGATGCTGCAATTTTCGTTCAATGTAACCGCATTTTACACCAAAGCTGTTTATGGCTAGGGCTACGTGGATTTTTCGTGTGCGTCAACAAAAACTCGGGTCCCGAATTTGATGCAAAATCGCTTCATTCTGTGCAAAAGCTTATACGTCTCATCACTTGGATATGCATTTTCAGTAGATTAGTTATCGATAGACACCATTTTCAAGATCAGTAGACTCTCAGGTAGATAGTAAAGGTTTCTCATAGATTTTTCGCTGTGCGACTCGTGTCGGCCATGTCTACGCTCGCACTGCCCTCTCTTTGTCATCAATCCAAGCGCTTGCGTGCCTAGTTTCCTTTCCTTTCGCCGGGTAACGGTCCCGTCGCACGTGTCTAGTTTCCGCCTGCTTCTCGGGGCGGCAATAGTCCTCGACGTGTGTGCATACCTTTCATCACAATGACCACCGATTAAGACAACAAATGTGTTTGTACCTTTGTTCAAAATTCTGTGTCACATCTGTGTCATGTGATAAACAGCTTCGCTGGTCATCCTCCTTCTCAGAGTGGAATGGCTCATGATTTTTCTATATGCATTTTCATTTCAGCTACTGTTCTGTTCAGAAATAGTTTGATAGAAAGGGTAGTTAGAATTAACTGGGTTCGATATAATTGGGTTTGACTGTAGGGGAACAAAATTAGCCACTGTGCATTGACACTACCAGTCAAAGTGCATGCAAGAAAAAAAATGTGAGTCTTTGGAACAAATTCGGATGAAAATGTGTTTTGGAAGATTTCATAGATGCTCATTACTTGTTTGGTTTTGATAGAAGTGCTTTTGGCGAAATAAGGCATTCAAAACTAGAAGAAATGCAGAACTCTACTGACTTTCTCAGAAACATCTTTTTGTTTTATTACCATTGAAACGCTTGATTGTGGTTTAAAGGCAACACTAAAATCTATGGTGCTCTCAGGAGTAACATTTTGTTACCTTGTTGTTGTCTTTGTCACCTCTAAAATTTTTAGGATCACCTCTAGACTAAAACTTCTTGGTCATAGTACTGTGTTTATGGTGAGAGCTTAAAGGGGCACTAAAATAGATTTTGAAATCATCTTTTTACGGTGCATTTTTGACCTACCTGCCCTAAGCATCCCAGAAAATTTAAAATTGGAGTCATGCGGTGCATTTTCTCTCATTAAAAATGCAACTGAGCATTGCCCCTTTGCCCTAAGCATCCAGAAAAAAACCCAAAATTACAATCATGCATGGCCGTTTTTCCTATTAAAACTGCGACGAAATATCAGTGTGCCCCCTTGTTCCGAGATGCATCTAAAAAAAGGGCGTGTTGCAATGTTCGGCTACGTTTTTTATGTAGAAGGGCCATGCACGACTGTAATTTCGGTTTTCTGGGATGCTTACAGCATGGAGGTCGAATTTGTGTCATAAAAATATGATTTCTGAATCCATTTTAGTGCCCCTTTAATAATTACTGCGGAAGAGGCACTATAAAAACCACTTTTGCTACGACCGATTTTGCTGCTCACAATCGACCATTCTTCCGTTGCGACATGACCTTGCACGTGAGCAGACATCAACAAGTTCCTGTGGATGGTGCGCATTGGAGGCAGCACGGAGCGGGGCCAGCACATCAAGGAGCAGGACTACTACACCTCGTCGGGAGAGTTTAGTGTGGACCGCGAGGGCTCCCCCGTGCTCCTCAACTGCCTCATGTACAAGATGTGCTACTACCGCTTCGGCTCCGTCTACACAGAGGCCGGTGAGTGGGAACACGCCGTGCCAACCATGTGCGCTTGATTTTGGAGCATGCTGGTTACAAGTGAAGCATGTGCATTCACTTCACCAATGTTGATGTGTGAGGGTGATTGGCTCTCTGCAATGACTTGCGTGTCGGCCATTGTGATAGGCACTCCACAGCAACCGGAAAGGCAGTCGTTGTAATTGGCACTCCACATTGATTGGAAAGATGATAGTTGTGACTGGTGCAGAAATGATCAAGCCAATCATTCTGATTGGCTTTCTGAAATAGCACATGGGCATATCATTGTGATTGGCTCTCTGCAATGGCATGTGGGCATATAATTATAACTGGCACTTCATATTGATTGAAGCCCATAATTGTGATTGGCTTTTTGAAGTGATTGGTTAGTAAATCATTGGGATTGGTACTCCACAATGATTGGTGAGTAAATCATTGGGATTGGTTTTGAAATTATTTGAGAGCCGACCACTGCATTTGGTTCCCTGCAGTGATAGAAGAGCCAATCATTCTGGGGAGCTAATTGCAATGGCCTGCTCATCCCCAATGACCTGCTGATTATTGCAATCTATTGAAGGAAGCAGACATAACATACTAACTCGAAAATGGTATCTGCAGTGCGATGAATTAGCATGATGTTTTGCATGTGCAGAGTCCAGCAGATTTTGCCTTTTGAAACAAGCACTTTGTGGATCTTGTCTTTCTCTAAGCACACTCTGTAGATAGTAATCATTGGTTATGTTCTGTTGGAAGATATGTGCAAGGAGCTTTATTCATAAACAGTGCACAGACTCTTTGAATAAATACACTACTTTGCTCCTGAATGGTGGCTAGGTTGAGCAGTGCCTCATATTTGATTGTTGAAATAAGTTGTTTACGTTAATGCCACCTTGTGTCGCAGGTAAGCCACCTGGCTACGACCGGGTGCGCAATGCCGAGATCGGCAACAAGGACTTCGAGCTGGACGTCTTGGAAGAAGCGTACACGACGGAGCACTGGCTGGTTCGAATCTACAAGGTCAAGGATCTACCAAACAGGGGAGTCTGAAGCGCTCAAATCCCGAACCTTTCATCGACGACACGTCACCCCCGTCGCGTCGCATTGACTTCACGTCGTCACGTCATGTTGGACGACGCCTCTTCTCTCGGCCATGTTTCATTCTCCCCCTCGATCGACTCCCTGGTAAAAGTGCTGCCGCTGGGGGGCTGCTCTGGCGGCATTTGTTTGAGCGTCGTCTGAAAGTCTGCCAAGTGTGCGTGTGGGTTTTTCTCTTTTTTTTTTCCACAGTTTTTTTTTTTTACATAATGTACGTTTTCTGGGTGCTATCGTTGGATGTGAGAAAGGGTGGCTGCACATGGAATAAATTTTTTTATGGAAACCAAATACACAATTTGAGTCATGGTGGTTTTGCCGACATCTTGGCCGTTGTTGAATTGTTGCATATTTTTAACCCAAGATACCATTTTACTACATCTTTTTTTTAAATTCAGGTGTTCTAGATTAATCTAAGCTGGATTTGTATTTTTACTATAATGTATAATATGCTGTCGTGTAGAAAATAGAACAAATGTCATATTTGGTGTAGCCTGCAGAGATGATGAGAATTTGCTGGATCATAAAGCTACAAAAGATGTGTGGTTCAGGCCTTCATACGCCTGTACTTCCAGTCCTTGGAAAAGGTTGATGCCATATATTGTGGTTTACCATTAACTCAACACCCATGAAATCAGTAAGTGTGGATGTTCATTTAATGACCATACTTTACCCTTAGGCACTCTCTTCACTGCATGCAAAACAAGTTTGTAAGTATCATGGCAATTTATTTATCAAACTATGAAAGACTGGAGGAGATGATTGTGGAAAAAGTCTAATTTCTAAGTACGTGCAAACAGCAATTTTTATAGAATCGAGTAGTCCTGCCGGTCAAATAATATCAAATCTAATTGCAGAATTCCAGATAATGTGTTACAGTTGCAATGCATTGTAGCGGTCGTGCTAGAAAAAAATGCCAGTCTTAATTTCATTAATATCTAAATATTGTTCACTTTATGGTGTAATGTAATATGGGAAACTTTCATAATTGCCGACATAGTTTACTCTTTGGGGCAAATTTGCAGAAGCAAAACAGGCTTTACCAAAATGCACACACACAAACCCACCTGAAAGAGCTTATTGTTTTTGTGTGCTACTTCACTGCAGGAAAGTGGCACCCACACCTCCACTGCGAAAGTTGTTCGGTCGCATTACCTCTGCCATGGGATAAGTGCATTAGTATTCAAAAGCTGTTCTATTCAAACAATGTTAGGATTACAATTTCTTTTTTATCACTGATCACTACATGGTGAAGATAGAACCAGCTCCATTTATACCTACAAAAGCTATACTTAGTTTCACCATAGGTCAAGGCTAGAACATGCACACACACACAGACTTACAAGCACACCATGGTGCATTCACTGTGCTTGATTGGCATGGAAATATGTCGAATGTTGCGACTTAGCACATTCACACTGCTTGATTTGTCCCATTGGCTCACAACTTCGACTGCGCTGTGGTGAGCATGACATGGATGAAAACGAAAGAAAGGCTCGGCATGGCATATACATAATTTGCATGCCTTCTATGACATAGATCTTACTAAAAAAATTACAGGAAGCTCCATTAGTTGATCCTTAAGGAATGTGTTAGCATAACCCTTGAAAACGCCACACGTCCTCTGGGACCCCTTTCACTTCTCTTTCTTTTGCTTCATTTCGGCCTCATTACGGGGTCAGCATTAGAGTTTCCCAAGGGTCATGCTAACAGGTTCCCTAAGAATCCACCAATGGATGTTCCTGTAATTTTTAGGGGCAAAGCTCGTTGGGGCTAGCCATGTCCGTATGTCCATCCGCTGTAAGGTGCACGTGCTCCTGCTCGTGAGCTCACAAGTACGTGAGCACGTGCTCCCGTGCTCGGGTAAGGCAAAAAAAAAAAAAAACCAACCTCCATGTGGTGAATGATGTTGATTGGGGCGAAGCTCTGGTGGTGCTTGTCTGCGCAGACGCTGAGCCGCAGCATGCCGAGCCTTTAGTTCGTTTTTATCCATGTCAGAAAGAGAATGTGAGGTATGGAACATGGTTATATACGCATTTGAGCATTTGACCGCAGCGCGACATGGGTGAAAATGAACGAAAGACTCGGCATGCTGCGGCTCAGCGTCTACGCAGACAAGCACCGCCAGAGCTTCGCTCCAATCAACATCATTCACCACGTGGAGATGTGTTTTTTTTTTTTTCACCCCTTTTCAGTACGCTGCCAGTCACAGTACGTCAACGCCCTTGGATAGGGGCATTGACGTACTGTGACGGGCAGAGCAACAACTGAGCACACCGGCATTCCACCGTGCTGTGGCACAACAACTAGATCACAAAGCCATAGTGCTCAACGAGATGGCATCATCAGAGAAGGCCTACGCTGGGCACATTGGACACGCGTCAACATTTGGCTCAAGCTCGACTCAAAACCTAGCGCCAATGCAGCACTCTTTCCAATCTGTGCCCAGCGTTGGCCTTCTCCGACGACGCCTTCAGCACTACGGCTTTATCTAGGTGTTGCACGGCGCCTTTCTCTGGCTCCGCTCAAGCTGTGCGTGGGACTTAAATGAAAACGAAAGGGCTTGTTTTGACAAAAACCCGGCGCACCGGCTGACTAAGCCGGTGCTGGCTTCGTCAGCACAGAAGGGGAGATTGACACATGCCGACGTCAGTGCTTCGGACCGAAGGGAGCATCACCCTCTCTTCCCGGCGCTGACAAACGAAAGACGCCATCAGGTTTTTGTAAAAACGGGCATTCTAACGCTAATGCATCAGAATCTATTCCAGCTGAAGGAATGGATCAGGAATGGCAGGATGACCTTTCAGAGCAACTTTTAATGTGCGGGTGCAACCACAGACGACAGCCTTGGGCTGCCAAATGTGGGCGGCCAGCCACTTGGAAGCGCCTAGTCAAAGAGGCCGAATCCCATGTCGTCGTCTTCCTCCTCGGATTCTTCTTTCTTAGCCTCCTCCTTCTTGGCGTCCGGCTTGGCCGCTGCACCACCTCCTGCGGCCGGAGCCGCAGCCGCAGCTGCAGCCACAAACTTCGACGGGTCCTTGAGGTACTCCTTGGCCTGTGGGAAAGTCAGGCAATGCTGGTTAGTCACAGTCCATGCTGACCTACACTCGGTTTCAGATGAAGATGGACCACAACATGTGTCTCGCATGCGGCTGCTCCCGTCCCAAATGCCATGTAACACTTGCACGGCGTTGGATTGGCTTCGATTGCTCTTGGTGTCATCTGCGGTCCGTTGTAGAGTGAAACGAAGTACAACTGCCTGGCGATAGGATACAGCTGTACACTATTTCTGTGTGAGTAAAAATGGCCTCGGGCTTTTCATGCAATATTCACAATGGCAGTCATAAACCTTCAATAGAATTCTCAAAAAGAGCAACCACCTGCTGACACCCACTGCTTCTCATGTCTGCCCAGAAAGCTGAACTAAGAAAACAAGCGTGAAACATAAGTGTAAGGGAAATGGCATGCAGCTGTTGACACAACGGGTTCAAAACTTCCGACTAAAGACAGAAAACTTGAAATGCTGAAAAACAAGTTCAGTATTCTGGAGTTGATGAACCATTATTCCACCAACCCGATCTGTGGACGGTGGAGCTGTATAAAACTCTCACAAAATGAGACGTGCTTTGCCGGACATTACATTTTTCAGCCACTTTCCAAGGTTTTCAAGCACCTGTGAGCAACTAAAGTTTACTTTTTGCAAACTGCTTCTAGAGGCAGATGAAACAAAATCTTGAGAGGCCGAAAAGGCTGAGAAAATGACCAATGTGCCTGAAAACTGCACATCCACATGCTCATGCATATGATGCGTGTCAGTTTGGTCAGCCCCTTCAAAGCCACCTCTGGCAACTCTGGAGTTGAGTGTGGAGAGACACAGACCATCTCTGCCTCTTTGAAGGTGATGTCGGTCTCCAGGGCCACGGCAATAAGGTTCTTGAGTCCGTTCACGATGGAGTGTGGGGCCGAGGCCACCGTGGGGTAGCCAATGGCCAGGGACACAGAGGCCACATTGCGCACGCCCTCCACAAAGGCAGACCTCAGGTCTTCCGGGGTGATATCCAGGATCTCGGGGGAGAACACCGTGCCAGAGTCGTACACCTGCATGGGGGTCAAGCGGTTTGTAGTTGTAGATGCAGTGTCCTTGCCGCACGCTCTGTAAATTTGCGCAACGGTGCTGAACACGATTCAGAGAAATACACACGCTGAATTACATCTATGCATACACTGACAACTGCAAACAGGGTGTTGCCTTGAATCCAGTCATGTGGATTTAAGGGAACACCTTGTTTGCAGTGTGTTGCCTTGAATAATCCAAGTTATCAGAATGCAAAAAGTAAAACCAAATTAGATGTTTATATAGTACATGGGTGGCCAGGCTGACCCCACTTGAGGGCCGCAAACAAAACCAAAAAACCTCCAAAAGCCGGTGGGGGGGGCAATCTCGTGTTTAGAGCAATAAACGAAACTCGAACTACTTTCAAACTATCCGAGTCAAAAACAGTCCAACTCCACGTGAGGTAGCAGTAGCACAAGAGTACCAAACCGCTAACTGTCTTTCGACTTAAAACGGGTTCCATTTTTCTTTTGGAGGAAGTGCTCGTGTGATCGGGAGGGTGGCGCGGGGGGGAGGGGGGGGGTAGGGGGGATCCGCGAGTCGCACTTTGACACGCAAAGAGCCGCATGCGGCTCGGGAGCCGCAGCTTGGCCACCCCTGATATAGTACAGCCTGTCATAAAGTGGTTCACAGTGCAGCAGTAGTGATACTCGACTGCACGCCAGTACTGCCACTTACTTAGATTGAAAAGGGCAGGACACGTGACTTGGTAACAACCCAGTTAACAAATCATTGTAAGAAAGATTTTGAAGCATATCATAGAAAATGCACTCTTTCCTCCTGCACTGTTGGAATCCATTGCCAGCATCGCTTAGCAAAATTACAAGTTTACCTTAAAACCTTCAGAACCAAAAAAAAAAAAAAAACAAAGCACACCATCATTATTGCAGATCCTGAGGCTTTCTTGAAAAAAAAACAAGCCGTACAGAAAAAATTCGAACACGGCAGGTCTCCGATGCTCTCAACACCCACCTGAAGGATCTTGAGCCCGTACGAGAAGGGCGAGATGTTCAGCATGTTGAGCAGCGTTGCCTCGGAAGCTCCCACGCGGTCGTCCTTCTTAATCAGGTGGATCTCATTGAGGATTTCAATGGTACCCTTGGAGATCTTGGTGGGGATCTGCAGCGCCTGGAAGAAGGACGTCTTCTCGGGTCCCAGACCCGTGTTCTGGGCGGGGATCATGACGTCCAGCGGGGCCAGCGCTCCGGCACGGGCCGGGGCCTTGACCTTGTTTTCGATGATCTTCTCACGGACCTCCCCGAGGTCCTCCTTGGTGAAGACGAAGCCCACGTTGCCCTTGATGTGGGGCAGGAGCTTCTCCAGGGCTGGGTTGTTGTCCAGGTGTCCGCGGATGGCCTTGCGGATCATGGTGTTCTTGCCCATGAGGAGGACGGCGTGCTTGCGGAGTGAGACACGGATCGTCTGCATCTGCTTGGAGCCGACATTGTCCACGCCCACGATGAAGCACTTGGGGTACTCGTCGAGCAGCTGCACCAGCCGCAGGAAGTAGTTGCTCTTCCAGGCGGTCTTGTCCTCCCTAACCATCTTGCCAGTTAAGGATGTCTCGCACGGAGTTTAAGGACTGCGAGGAGAAACAAAAGGAAAAGGGTAAGGGAGACAATTTATTACCTTGGAAATAACTGGAGCCACCAGGATTAAAAAATGTGTGCACTAGGAAGGAGAAGGAAGCTCCACGCCTTAGAATGAACTTGGGGGCACATAGGCATGAAATACACTTCGGGGAAGCCCAACCTAGGTCCCTGCAGGTCAATGGAGCCAGCAGGATCTAGCTTCCTTAGCCGAGGCAGTGCTAGCGCTCGCCTGAACACGTGCTCACATATTTTCATACCAGAACTTCTGAATCGGCGATTTCCGAAAATGGTCCACCATGTTTGCTTCAATCACCCGGCAGTATTTTTGTTTCTTTCTTAATACTACATCAATACAACAATACAGAAGACAAGGGAACAGATAATAATATTAAAAATTAACACTTGTTAGCATGGATGGATGATATTGGCTATAACCTTTGTAACGGGCGGTAGTTTGTGCCACCTGGGCAGAGAAAATGCCTTTCTCCCGCACTTAAATACCCAATTTCTTTCCTTCGACATCCCTGCAACTATCACCGGGCTGGGGGGATGAACGTCCAGGCTGACCTTTGGGGAATTGGGCAAACACAAAATAAAAAGGAAAACACACTCCCCCCTTTCCTTCCCGGCGACGAAGTCGCCAATTTTCCTCTGGTTAACCCTGTTGGGGCTTCTTTCCATAACCCAGACCCACTGAGAGTCAGGGCTGAGACTTTGGGCCGGAGCCACGTAGCCTTTAGTAAAACTTTACTGTACTTGTTGCCTCTCTGCTCTCAAAGGATGCCCAACCCATATCTCCCCCTGTACCACTTCATTTGGTGCGTTACCAAGTGCCTCTATTGGGCAAAAGATCGAACTACAGGGGGCGCCTTGACCCGTTTGTTTCCCCACACCTCTGTGTTTACTCAACACAAGGCCTGTGCACATGCCCACAGGCCTTATGGGCATGTCCATGTCATCTTCTACAATAGAGTGCGGGGCACAGTGTAATGTAAAAAATACCAACAATCGACGAAGTGACGTTAAGTGCTTGATCTATCCTGAAAGCAGTCATCAGAGAATGCGAGCTTGACCCCCTTAGGCTTTTGTGCTGAGCTGGGCACCGTGCATGCAGGCCGAAGTGGTTACAAAAGAGCCCCTCCTCCCCCTCACAGGAGAACACAAACTCCAGCCGAATGGTGACGCCGCGTTCGGTTATGTCGGCTGAGCGCCGAGTCATTGTATTCATTGTCCCCATCCGTGTAGTTCTAAAGTTAATTACTTGGGGTGTCACGGTCTGTCCTCCTCCCCAATAGGTAACCTACCTACACACTCTAGTAATTCAGATTTCATACACAAGACTGCATTACTGAAAGTCAACCCTGGTACCATTACTCCTTTTTATACCCCCTCACAACTTCCTATTTATTAAAGTTCCACAGCGCTTTTTGTTTCATAACAGTCGAATTTCTTTTCCCATTCTTTATTACATTATCTTCATGTTCATATTTTCTTCTCTCATTTAATACGCCCAGATATTTGTACTTTTCCACATGTTCTATCAGTGTCTTGCGTCTCCAGAGGTTCCCTCTTCGCGTCGTTATGTAGAATTGTAGAGCATGCCACCAGGTGGCCAACAGGCATAGGAAGCTGTCAAGAGAATCGCTAGGTTATTCGAGCCGACCCGTGCCTGATATGGTTATTGTCCAATATGGTTTGCTGAAACAACTTGATGCAGCGAGATATTTCAACTTAATCAAGTAAGGTGCCACGCACAACGCAATCATCGGTCTAAATGACAAGCTTTCTAATTTCGTACAACTATACTTCCGTCTGTGAAGATGTGTGCTATTCGCCCGGTTTTTTCCGACGCATACTACCAAGCCACGTGTGACGTATACTATGCTTGCCAATTCCACCACAAATCATTCGTGATATAACGTAATTTATGAGTGTGCTTTAGCTGTTACAATCATAATAAATCTTATAAAGTTAATGACTAGAGGCGAGTATCATCGCTTTACGAGTCAACCCGGTACAGTGCTCAGCCTTTTAGGAGATCAACTTTAATAACGAATTCGAATGTTATATCTAAACATGCGAACATATAAAATAGCATTATCACTGTATAGCTTATTATGCTTTTGCGACTTCGTTTCACGTTGTCGGCAATAAAGCGTGCCCAACCGCAGGCTGAACGGGCTGAACATTACAATGCAAGACCAAAGTTTAAAAAAAAAAAATAATAATAATAATAATCAATATCTGCTATAACTGAGGCGGTTAGTCGATCATTCACTTTAATCCTATGCATAAAATACCCATCATCCGCGACAAATTAACACAGATTTATCCGGATTTACGAGGAAGGCCGTACGTACCGTAAATAATGGTGAACACACGGAATGAGAGGAGAAAGCGGAAGTTACGTAGCTAAAAACTCAAAAGCGGAAACCGAAAGCCGACGGTGGCGACGCCACCGATAGTTTGGTTTCGGTTTTAGCCAGATTAAAAAAAAAAAAAAAAAAAAAGCGAGATTTTTACTGTACGCGTTGTTAATCTAAAGGTAGGCAGAAGTACTTCGGTAGAGGTGAATTTTTGCCAGGGAAATACGTAAAATATAAAACCGAAAGGAACAGTAAATATAAAACATGGAAAGTCATAATGCGATTTTCGGGAGCTAGAAATTAGCAACGTCTGCCCACAAGTTTCACGGTATTAAAACAGCGACAGCGAAATTAATCAAATCCACTCTAAATCTATGTTTTTATTCGGAGCTTTCTGATTAACGCAGACATTTTATTCGGAGCTTTCTGACTAACGCAGGCATTTTATTCGGAGCTTTCTGATTAACGCAGGCACCAACGATTGAATCTGCAATTCTTTGAACGCCCTGCACTCTCTACTTCACCACACGACGTAGCCGAGATGCGGAGAAGCTGCCGTGCTGGAAACTTGCGCTATTGGAGTATTTGGTGGAAGAATAAAGCAAACCTGTTTTATACGGAAGTGTTTATTACGAAGTTATGACACTTCGTAATAAACAGTACATTTTACTGTTTCTTACAAGACAGTTATATTTTCTCGACTCGTACGCGTGGTAATCACAAGAAAAAAAAAAAAAAAAGACAAGTATAGTGTGCACATGCTGTAGGAATTGCTGCAAGAGCAGAGCAAATTAAAAGCAGTAAAGATTTAATTTGGATTTTGGCGTTCCTACTCACTTACATCATATTTTTTGCACCGCTGTTCACAAACATTGCTTCCTCAAAGTGATACACAAACAGAGTGGTTTATTTGCAGCAAGTGGTTTCTAACCTCTTCAAAGGGAAGTACTTCGCACAAAAAATGAACATCGTGTATTTCAAACATACTTTCAGATAAAGTATTTAAAAACGCAAAAACAGCCTCCATCAAAATCTAGCGTCACTATAATTCGTTCATCCCCAAGCCGACGTGTGGTAAAAACAATGTGCTTGCTGGACCAAACAATGCACTCCATTTCGTCGCCTGACCCTGCTCTCTGCAGGAATGCGATCGTGTGGCGAAGGGTAGATTTATGACTGACTCAATGAGCACGTAGCTTCTACCGCACTGTCAGCTTAGGGGTAAACATAGTGGGCTACCACGCATCGATAGAAGCCATCGTTCCGTCGAGGAACTCTCTGTATAAAAAAAAAATCATCCAGTCTCAGAAGTCAAACTCAAAGCAGAACACATTCCAAGCCTGTGCTACCGCCCGCGCCTATTGACCGGCGGACACCACATGTTCCCAAACCGGTCGGGCGCCTCCCGGTGCTGACTGTCCCACGTCCAGGGCACGTCGTCCTGTCCGTACGGTGTCAGCGGGACGTCGAATGGCACGAACAGCGGCAGGCAGCCCTTGCCCGCCATGCTGTCGCCCCCCACCGTGAACGTGCGTGCGTCCCCAAACTGCCCCGGAAAGAAGAGCACCCCAAGTTCGTATGACCGTATCATCAGCTGGCTGCCGCTCTTCTCGAAGGCGCCCCACGCCGCCTTGGACAGGTTGGCGCTGGTCACGAGCAGCCAGGCCGTCTGCTTTCCGCTCGGTGACAGCCTCGCGTAGCTCTTGACGTGCGGGGACGCGTGGGTGCGCCCAAAGCGGCCGCTCCGCCACCGGAAGAAGTATGCGTCGAGCCACCGCTGCTTGTTCGCCGTCGAGATGCTGTACGGAATGGACGCGCCGGCGGGGTAGCCCTCAAGGCTGCACCGCACGTCGTCGACCGACGGGAAGACGAGTTTGACGGGTACGGTTGAGGACGGGGTTAAGGGCGGTCCGCCCTTGACGGCTGCGAGGCTCGTAAGGAACTCGGCGCGGAGCCAGTTGTCAGGGCCGGTGCCCAGCGAGCCGATGCTGGAGAACTGGGCAACGGCCGGCCAGTAGCTGGAGACAAGCTCTTTTGGAGGGCCGTGGAGGGAAAGGAGCTTGCGCAGCTTCAGGTGGCCGAAGCTGGACTTGCGGGCGCCGGTATGTCTGCCCGGGACGGACCTGGAGACAAACAATGTGTTTTGCTTGTTCTCCGTTTTAAAAGAAGGGTGAGTAAGTTATTGGAGGACGACCGATATCACATTACGTTTCAAACAAAGGTTAAAAAAAAAAGTCTGACAAAAATAAAAACAGTTGATTCTGGAGCGCAATGAACATGTGCTACTTTATGACATCAGGCATGTTCCTGGGTTACGAAATAAATCTGAAATTATGTTCGTAAGTGTAAACAACATTTATTGACTACTTCTCAAAGGATGTCTACAAAAAACGAGACGTTTTGTATTGTACCAGTCCTTCCTTGTAGTTTTGTTGTTTGCCACTACCACATGTAATATTTTGCAGTCTTGTTTTCTTGTAGTTATGGCGTTTTGTTTTTGCCCCTACTCTTAAATTTGTTTTGGGGCACGAACGAAGGAACTTCGTCACGCCACACTATTGCGGCTTCCTTTCTAGCGTTTTGCAATGCAATGATGGTAAATAAAATTTTATTAAGTTGCAAAAGAACACGGGACAACATGATTTTTTATATCTCTAGATAAGTAGTGAATAAGTGAAAATGTGAGTCTGCTGTTGTGACAAAACTATGTTTCCCTCAAAATTTGGTTCTTACATATGGTAAAATCCCGAATGAACGCCCACCCCCTAAAGACTACCCACTCAATATTTGTCCCCACTTATCTCTTCAACGTGGGTGGGCACTCATTCAAAACTCTATGGTACTCCCTTCTCGCGCAAAGTGTCTAAGGTCGCCGAGAAATTGACGATTCTCACCCGACGAGGAACACCTTGACGGCCGAGAAGTCGTGCGCGCGGAGGTAGTGACACCACTCGTTTATCTTGGGGTCCCCGTACGATCCCAGGTACTCGAGCAAGTCCGCCCTGAACCCTGTCGCCGAGTCGCCGCCTCCGGCGCCACCGCTCGCCTTGGGACACAGCGGACCGATCCATGCGGCCTGCGTCTTCTGCGCCCAGTCGGATTCCACGAGGTTGGAAGTGTGTATGACCACCCTCATGCCTTCCTTGTACAGCAGCAGCATCATCTTGGTGTGGTGGGTGCCGTACACGATTTCAAGTTTCGCCTGCGCGAAGGAGACGTGCTTGAACGACGAGGCGGACGCCTCGAGCTCGCGTTTCGCGTCCCGTTGCTCGCCGTGGACGATCAGGAGGGGCAGGTTTCGGAATTCGGCAGGGTACCTTTCGACCAGCCATGGGATGTCGAAGCAGTAGTTGAACTGGGCCGAGCGCACCAGCTCGCCCATGTTTGGGGATAGGATGTCTTCGATCGAACGCGCGATGGACGGGGCATTGTAGATTGCCGGGATCCCTTTGACGGTCGTGAAGTAGAGACCGAAGAGCTCGTGGTCGTGACTCGCGAGGTTTTGAGGCTTTGGTTTGGCGTCGTGGCGGTATTCGCGCGTGTGCTCCGGGTTTTTGCGGTAGCACCCCGAACCGTACGGACAGAGCGGACGGCCGTCTGGTTTATTAGACTGATCGTTTTTGGCTGGAGTTCTTGCCACGACAACTTGTGGTGCTGGAGGTTTGACGAGTTTAGTAGCCACGAGCGAGGGAGCCGGTTTCTGGGGCGCTTCTAACGGTTTTGCCGGTTTTGACAGGCGCGGGGGTGGTGTTGTCAAAGTGGCTCGTTTATGGGGGTGCAGGCTGGTGAAAGTTTTCTTGGTTTGTTTGTTATTTTTATCGTCGTCGTCGCCGCCGCTGCTGCTACTGTCGGAGTCGGAGACTTCGTGAAGTTTTGTAGATCTCCGTACTTGTTTAGGTGGCGGTTGCTTGAGGCGATCTAGCGATCCACGCTTGCGGGCAATGACATCTTCTAGCTCGTCAGAGTCGATAGTTCGGTCGGAGTCACTCATTTTACCGATGTTTCACCCTACAAATAAATGCTCAAGAATTAATGTCATGCTTGTTTTCCACGTTTTCTCATAGTTTTTCCTCGTCTACATACGCTGCCCGCGCTCCTGTGCAATCTTCAACGTGGGGGCCGCCATTTTGAACTCGGCGTTGACTGATAGTTTTCAAACCGTTTGAAACTAACAATTTGCGAAATAAAGCGGGAAAAAAATAAAATACGCAAATAACTAATATTTGCAAAATGAAAGACAAACACTACGTATAAACCTGACGTCTGAAACAATAAACTAGTTAAAAAGAGGTAATAATACCGGCTTCAATCGGCTTGCATGGGCTCTTCGTACTTCGTGCCAAGCTAAGTCTGGTAGTTGGTTCGCAATTTGTAGATTTAGCGATCTTTTGTACAAATGCTCGTGGCGCATTTCCATGTGCTCGCAGCACAATGTTAGAATGCACCAAAAAGTTCCTTCTGTGGTTCGCTCACGAACATATACCTTTCAGGATGGCGGTAAATTCAACCTGTTTTAATCTCAGCTCCGAACAAAACTATGTCATCGCGCAGGAGATCCCCCATACGAAAACCCACCTTTCATTTCAGGAGATTCAGTCCATTGCGGCTATGTTTGGAATATCCATGGCATTCCTGGCACAGCCCGAAGGCGAGGTAGTTTAAAAATTCTCCATATCTATGCATTGTTTTTGTTCTAACAATATATACTTACATGTATTTCTTGCCTGAAAAGCCGTACGCGATAGCGGAACTCACCGAGGCAGATGCAAGGAAGCTGGCTTCCAGGAGCATGCTCATTCGGTAACATAGTTTTTTTCGTGTTTTCTTTTTATTAATTTACTACACCGAAACACATTTAGATGCCTGCTTGTATCTAAAACCCTAGTTCCTAGCGAGAACAAGACTTTTTGCACTTTACAAATCTTCGAATTGTGAACATATTACTCAACATTTCCGTAGAATTTGTATTTGGCTATGCGCTCCGAAGTTAATAGTTGGGCGATGATAAAGTTGCATAAAATCACATTGTTGGAGTCCGGGAGCGTGTATGGGCCGTGAGCTTCCGAGCCTGGTCAGTGACACATGCAGTGGCCGGATGCCATGGTATGTTGATGTCTCGTATTATATGTTCACCCTACATGCAATAATGAAGTATATCGATCATCTAACGCCACAGATTTGTAATACAAGAAGTAAAATAAATTAGACGAGTGATTCCGAGTGCTTTCAATGCCGTTGCTACGAATGCGGTATGCCATTTGCCCTATCCTCAACTTTCTACCGTGCAATCCTTTCCCATTCATTATATATACCTCCTTCATTTCTTTGCAGGTCTGTTGTAGAGTTGTGGGCACACGGTCCAAAAATAGATGACGTCTGCAACCAACTCAAGCAATTTCCCGCCAACTTTTGGGTAAGTGGTGTGCTGCAGAAGCCGTAAAGTACAGTGCTGTTTCCGTCTGGGCTACAGACCTGCACTGTAAGATCTTCCGAAGCGAATTTTGTGGGCTGGGCCGTTATTTATACGCTAACCGGGAGCTTTACGATTGGTGCGTTAAGTACACAGAGCGGATAGGGATACTACTGGAGACTGGCACTCGAGAGTGCTTCTCGTGTACAGTTTTTTCTGTGAACACGTGTGACTTCTTTGCGCTCCGTGGCGTTACTTCTCCTAAACAAGGTGGCTGCGCCGACAGGACCATTATCGCAATGAAGAGTGCAACTGGAATGCTGTCCCTTTTGAGTTGAATAATGCTAAGCCCAGTGTCTAAAAACATTTTGACCGGAAAGCCGAAATATCAGTTATCCTTCCGGAAAAGGTTTGCTTATGTATCTTGCCTGAAAATGAATTAGCATGCTGCAAGATGGAACCCTTCTGAACAAACTTGATAAATTTTCCAGTTTCTCGAGTTGACAAGCCAGTCCAAGAATGACATCTATTTTTAAATTCGAGCAGGATAGGCAATAAATAGACCAGTCACGGCAACATACTGCCTCTGTGCTAAACCTTGCACGAGTACTAAAATGACACTGCATAGCTTCATTTGTTTGTTTTTTTACGCTGTCTTATGGGCTGTCTCGATTTATTTGCGGAAGAATTAGAACGTCCGTTGCTGACATCCTTGACGTTTTGTGCTTGCATCATAACCTTACAGCCGGAAATGGCGTGCGACTCAGTGTTGATTTTGGTGTGTCGCTCTCTGTTTAGTTACTGCACTCAGAGTATGAAACTCTGAGCGTTGAAATAGGAGTAAAGGAGCACAAACTTAACACGCTCAATCTATGCAGGACCCATACTCTGGGGAGGACCAGTCCTTCAAGGTTAACGTGGAGATTTTCGGCAAACGGAAAGTTCCGCGTGAGGTCAAGGTCGAGAAGATTGAGGTAGGTTTGATTTGTCCGGAATCGTTCGATCTAGGGCCGAGTAAGCTATGCTTTCGAGTAATGGCACTTCAGCCACGGATGGATGGATAATAATGGCCGTACCCTTTATAACGGGTGGTGGTAGCTTGTGCCACCTAGCCTAAGAACTAGTGATGGGCCGAACTTTTAACGAATCGAAAATTCGGCGCCAAATCTTAGGATTTGGCAAAGCCGAAGTTCTGCTCGGCATGTGCCAAACTTTGCCGAATCTGAAGTTCGGCAGATTCGGTCCATCACTACTAAAACCACATCGGTGCGTGGAATCAATGTTTCCAGTTGTCGCCGTCTTTTGCCGACGTGCCCGACGTAAAGATACAAATGCTGCTTTCTGTCGTCCCACTTGCCAAAACAGTTCACAACAGAACAAAACCATACCGCGACGGTCTCCGAACTCTGTATCTATTTCTCAAAAGGTTGCATTTCAGAACCGTAGCTGTCGCAAACGGCGCTCGTGCGGCTCCTAGTGCCAAGATGGCAGTGCCGACTAGCCGTTGGCATGTAATCAAATGTTAAGTGACAGAAATGCACGAATGACCGTCTCAATGGCATCAGACAGTGGGGCAAAAGAGTGCCGATACTATGAGCATAGCCTTCAAGTCACTCTAGTTCGGTCAATTTAATCCTTATATCTGCCAGAAAAGGCAAGTAATTTTTTTTCCACTATTTTTTGACATAAAATGGCACATGCCAGCTCTTTGGAATCAGTATTGTGTAAGCCGACGGATGGTGAAAAGGTATGCGGCTCGAATTTATAAATAAGAAGCAAAGAACAGAAGACAAAACAAGAATGGTACATGAACCGGGTAAATGTGATTCCACGTGAGGTGCAAAAATCGGAAAGAAGCCGCATGGAAACAAAGCGAACGCTTTTGTGTTTTTGGGGGTGGGAAGAAATCTTTTTGCCGAGGGATGCAAAGGTGAACGACCCGGCGTTCTTGGTTTCAACGCACGTCCTTCCTATGGTGTGTCGTAATTCTTGCATTTATTGGTTCTAACATTTTTGACTCTCATTCTGCAGAAATTTGACTTCCTACCTTTGAACGGGCCGATCAAGATGAACAACCCGGACCACACGTACCACCTGATCGAGTACTATGGCGTCGTTCCCAACTCCATGCCCGAAAATCCGCTGATGGTCTTTTTTGGCCGCTGGGTAAGCTCTCGCTTTGACTCATGTTTGATTCTCTCTCATCTGTAGCTAGGAGGAAGACATTTTAGTATTTTCTGCAGAGTAGCCAATGTCGTAGTGTTTTTGTACTCAAAACTTTTCACCGAACAGTGTAATATGTTACGAAACAAACTGGTCCTATATAGAGAGATGGCAAAATTACTTTCATTCGTTGAGATTCCTGCCACTGCTAAACACATTTTCCAGCTCATACTTTCAGGTGCCTTTTCCTAACTGGTTTTAAGACTGAGCGGTTTGTGCCTTCTGAGCTAAATCAAATTATGGCGACAAAAGCTGTAGTACTTTGTTTCTAACATAGCGTATAATGCTACCAAAGCTGTTGGCGCGGGCGAGTATGGCTTTACAAGCACTCTCGTGCAAACAAGATGCCAGATGAAGTCATGCACCTGTGCCCAGTAGCTTTGACAGCATTGTACACTATGTTTGGTATGCACACGTTCCCCCAAAATTGTTTATAGTAATGCAAGTTGACTAGAATAATTAGACAAACATGCACATATTTACCCATCCCTCAAAATGTGGTCTATAAAGCAGGATATGCATATTAACGAAACATTACGGTAGTAATGAACTTGTCTCCCATCCTTGTCACCGGGACACTTGTTGCTCAGGTGTCAACCATGTTTCGGTTAAAGGACATATCCCTGTTCCGCAGGTCTGTGACGGCCAGAGGTTTCTGAAGTTCCAGCTGTCGCTCAAAACACGCAAGTTCATTGCCAACACGTCCATGGACCCGACGCTGTCCGTAATCATGGCCAACATGGCACAGGTTCAGAAGAATCATCTGGTGCTTGACCCGTTCGTTGGCTCCGGTGAGTCCAAGTTTTTTTTTTTTTTCTTCATGTTGTGCTGCTCAGGAATTTTTTTCTCTCGAGTTTGTCGGCTTAATTTGGGGTTTATCTTTTAATTGCAACTCCGTCATCCTTATCCCCGCTTTCTTCATTTCATATATTTTTCGCCGTGCACTGACAGTTTTTACTATAGTTTTTAGTAGGTGCAACATACACTACGAAGTGGTGTAGAAAAGTGTGAGTAGGATTTCTGTGGGCTATGTAACCTTGTATCGGTGGGAATTTTTGCTCTGGTCAAGCCAAGATATTTTGTTTTCGGAGTCAAGTTCTCTTTGTCAAGTCGGTGGAAATAATTTTGACGGTGATTTATGAAAGTTCCAGCTTACTTCCAACATTTTTTTTTATTGACATTTGTGGCCACATTGTCATGACAGTTGCAAAGAAAGGCACTAGGAGAAGCCCAGAAAGAAAGTAGAACGACAGGAGTTGAAAGATTCTTTTGAAATGTGTTATTGGGAGATTATTGTCATTAATGATATCTTATAATAATTATTTTTCTCTTTGTGTTTTAACGTGCCACTACTGCTTTCAGTCAGGAGCAGTGGTAGATAAATAAAGATGAGTTATATATTTTGTTTCTCATTTTATGGGATGTTCAAGGCAGCCTGTTGGTTCCTGCAGCACACTTTGGAGCATACGTTGCGGGTACAGACCTCGATTATTTGTTGCTGCACGGTAAAGGTGAGCTGTGGGTCCATTCTTGACTTAAACAGCCGTACTCCATCTCACGAAGGCCTGCAGTGCCGAGAGAGGTACCGGCGTGCGAGCCCAGCTCGGCAGAACACTTTGTATGTGTGAGAAACGTGCACAGAAGGAATTTTTCAAAAAGTCACACGGTTGTACCTCTTGCCAGCATTGCAGACGTTTCTGTGACAGAGTACAGCAACAGCCTGGCATCCTGCAGTGTGCGTAATATTTAAGTCTCTTTGCAGCACTTGCGGATGTGCCCTCATCTGGACTTAGATAGTGGTTGGCTCTGGTGCGAAACAAAAGAATTGCGTGCATTGCATGTTTTCTTGTTTACATTGGGCGTTTATGGTTTAGACACCGTGGTGTCTTTAAGTACACATGTTTTGTCACTGTTTTTTTTTTTTTTTTTTTTTCAGTCATTACCAACTTTGTTTTGGTGTGAGTCATTAACAGAGGTTAAGCTTCACATTATGTCTGTGTATTTCTTTACCCAGCCAAATGCCAAACAAAGCTTAGTATTGCTTGACCTGTTTCTTTAAGAGAGACACCCACTATACTCGTTAGCAGGGTTGTAAAAGTTACTTAGAAAATGTACCTAAGATACAGTTACTCATACGAAAAGGTACTTAGGTACGCACCTAGGTACTTGCTTAAAATGTATCTAGGTACAGGTACAGTTACTTTAAAGATACTGTCCTTATTTATTTTCCCCAAATTTGTCAAAATATATTGGAAGTAGAGCTTTTTATACTAAGGATACACTCAAAAGCGAGTTTGATAAATGTGCTTTATTGGTGTCAATGCGATGTCCACATCGGTGTTGAGTCTTCATGTGCCTTGTCCCCACGCTCCAATTGGTTCACTGAGGCCACAGCTTCCACTGTTTACCATGTTACACCGAACCGCCGAAACTCGCTTATTGACGTTCTTGCCCTCAGAGCCGGTGCTGACGGGCCCAGAAGACGTTGGCCGCATGAAGAAACGCATGAGTCGAGTGCATATGCACTTAACCTTCGTGGCGACGAGCGAAAAACTTTAAGCTTCCTCGTTTTGTTTTTTCTTTCGTTAGTCACAAGAAAAATTAGTTGTTTTTTTTCTTTCGCAACTTTTTCACTTCTGATAACTGCAAAATTTGAGTCAGATTTATTGTATGGAAACTGTATCATATACGCGATGTTACATTGCTTTACGATTGTAATTATAATTTATTTGCAATTATATTTTATATTGTATTTATGGCAAAACAGTGCCACCACCAGGACAAGACGGGCAACAGAAACTGCGCACATCGTTAAAGTTATCTCCTTCTTTGTGTAGCTGTCAGAGGAACTTCAAACACGCAATGAAGTCGATTTTGGTTTGAGATGAAGGAAGCAGGTCGCTATTTTCCCTAAACAGAGTTCCGAAGCGATTAAATAAATTGGTGTCGCTAGAACAGCATCGCTAATTCACCGTTCGCTCAATTGAACACCTACATTCACTAAAGTGTGTCGTTCAATGAAACATCGTAGACGGGGCTTCGTTTGCTAGAACGTCGTTCGATCAAGTCAGTGCCTCCGATGTCATACCCAACTCAACGTTAATCACGGCGCATGTTAGTGTGTTAATACTTCAAGATTTATAGTTTCTACCATTTTGACGAAGTGAATAGAAAAGTACCTGTAATTCACTTAGTTACAAGTTATTGGAAAATGTACCTAAGATACAAATACAGATGCTACAGTGGCTTAAAGGGGGTAGTGTAGTTACCGTGTAGCCTCCACCACGCATCGGGAACGGCCGCTCCTTGGAAGACGGTGTAGGTGGCTCTTCGATCCGCAGCTCCGTTGGGTGCCTCAATTGGCCGGCAGATAGAGGCACCCTAACACGCTTCATAACTAATATAAATACCTCAAAAACAATGATTTGTTTCCAGTGAACCTTTAACGACATGATTTGTGTTTGAAGGTGAATGAAAATGTGAAACTAGCAGACGACAGTGTAGTCGACAGCTGCGAATCAGCCGGAGCCAAGCCGACCAAGCGGCCAAGCCGGAGCCATAGCCGGAACGACGGTGCTGCAAGCGCCAGCGCCACCCGCGGCCGTCTTCCAACGCTGTGCCGCTTCTCCGGTTTCGTTCGTTACACTGCCCCATTTAAGCCACCGTACAGATACCGAGAAATTAAAGTACCTAAGTTTGTACCCCAGGTACAACAAAAGTACCTAGATACCGATTTCCAGTTACCTGTACCTAGGTACTTTACAACCCTGCTCGTTAGCAAGGTTAGAAGCTGGGAAAATTATTGCACGGGGATATCTGTCTACACCAGGTGTTTCAGCAAAGACTCAAAAATCGCTAAGAATAGTAGTGCGACTGAGAAAAAGAAAACTCTTCAGAAACAAGCTGCCAGCCACAGCAGACGTCGGGGATAGCAAAAAGCATTCTAATTCAATAAATAATCACCTAAAATTTACTAGCTACAGTACGCTCGCAATAATTGAAACTGATATTTTATATTTCTGGTTAATTCAAACAAATTTCAGAATTTTGGTTGTCCAGCTATGTTTTTAATGTATTCGTAAACCGCTTAACCCCTTATTTTTTTTTTCGTAAAGAGATGGTTAACCGTAATTTGGATTTAAAAAAAAACAATGCTGGAGATGTAGGCGGGACGCTGCAATCCCTACAACACTACTAGTAAGGCGATATCTCAAATGGACAGCCGTATTTTTAGAAAAAAGAAGTCGAGATTGAACCAGGCCGACGAGGCGCGTGACCGTCAAGATACCTAGTTTCCTCCTCTTCGCTGCCGCGAGGCCGTTCCCTCTCCTTCGCGGAGAAACATGACGTCAACATTCCTGCCAACTGCGCCTCTTTTTTTTAAAAATACGGTCATCCGTTCGAGATATCGCTGTATGAGTGATGTTTTGGTGTTTGTAGCATCCCGTTGCACGCTTTTGCCACGTATTTTGGGGAATCCAGATTTCGGTTCAGCATCCCTTTAAAGTAACCTAAAAGTGCCATTTTTTTTATTTACAAGTTTTATTCCTTTAGTATTACAGATAAAATTTCAGAAGTTTATTACGGAAATGCAGCGGCGGCGAAAGAAAATGTGCTGCCATCTATGATCAGCGCCGCAAACTACTCGGACAAGCCTAGCTTGTTCGTGAAATTGAGGGCTACCAAATTAACCTCTGGACGAGCCGAGCTCACCTCTGGACGAGCCGAGCTCGTCCATGGCATTTTTAGCCAGAAAGTGGCCGACAAGCTCAGCTCGTCCAAGGCACTTATAGGGTTAATTTGGACGGAATTTTCGTGTACTTCATACTTTTTGTTCTCGCTGCCCCATTGAGTGCGCTTCTTTTCGAGCACCGGTGCGCTGCAGGGAGGCAACACCCACTGAGCTTGCTTCCGCAAGTGTTGCTTCTCTGCGGTGCACTGGTGCTCGGTGAGAAGCGCACTCGACGGTGCTCAAGGAGAGCACACATGAGCTAATGAAAACGGGCACCACGCAATCATTTCCATAGCAACTTGCGCGGACGCTGCGACGTGGCAGCATAGCATAGGTCCACGTCATTGCAATGAAAACTGCCGCGCAATGCCCGTTTTCATTGCTCACGTGTCCCCTTGCTTAACTCTTTCATTACCACGTCTATTCAGATTGATCACCGGTGATTTCAGCGTGTTAAAGTTATTTCTCAGGCCGCTGATGTCACCTAGTGGTTAGCCTAGAAAATAGGTTTTCAGAATCAGTTTTGATTTCGTTGCTCTGGCAGAAAATTCTTTTTGACGAAAACTTTTGCGAACTGAAGTGTGTGCATTCAGGTGAAAAGGGGGGTGGCCGTCACACTCCACTACGTACAAAAAAGAAAAAGACTGCCGCTTCTGGTTATGCTGCACTAACATGAACTTTTTGTGATCAAAAGACTCTAAATCAAAGGATGAAATCATGATTCAACCTTTGGCTTACATCATCATAAAATCACTTGTTGAAACTCTTTGTTTTGTTTAGGAATGTCGTTATATATTTCCAAAACAAATTGATTTACTGGTTTACGGTGATGCTCAGCAGATTTCTAATCAGACCCATCTGTTTATCGTCACTAATTTAAAATAGTTAATTAGTAACTTTTAGTTAATTATTTAATTGGTATGGTTTTCGCAATCTTTGCTGTGGCTGGCAGTTTATTCCAAGAAAGAGGTGTTTCTTTACATCAACAGCCTATTTTAAGGGATTTCGAAAGTCTTCGCCAAAACGCCCAATGTACACTAAGACAATTATTTGGCAAGATATCCGACTCTCCATTGGATACGGAAAGTGTGTTTGGTTTTCTGGCATCCACATTTCAGCCAAGCCAAGCCGCTGCAATGAGAAGCTGCGAGCGGAGGATGAGAGCATCTTGGCCAACCTCCGGCAGTACGGATGTGAAAAACAGTTTGTCGACGTCGTCATCGCAGACGCATCGATGCCTTTGTGGAGAGACGGAGCACGCTTTGATGCCATCATCACAGATCGTAAGCACCTCAGTTTCTCACATCTTCGTTAGTGAGTCGTGGGTAAGGTCTAAGAATAGAACTACCACACACTTCACTCAAAAGTTGTGACAACATTTGTCCCTATCCACTCTGTGTAGGTGCTAACAAACTACATAACATTGGTCAGGTACCATGAAGTATACAGTGGTGCACGAAAGGGGAAAAATTTGGTGAAAATTAATAATCAAGTCGCTTTCTCTTTGTTCCTTGAGCCCTTCTGAGTGTGTGGGAGCAGGAAGGCAGAGCTTTAGTGTAACCAAGTAAGCTAACGTCAGTATTGTTTACATTCAACATACCAGGAACAAAGAGGCATAAAGAACAAAGCTCCTGTCGAATTATTTTCGACGACTATTTTTTCTCAGCGGTCCACCTATACAACTCTTAGCACACATCTACAACTGTTTTCTATCTACAAATGCTGAAAAACTGCAACCCTAGTTATGGGTCTTGCCACAGCAGCAAGTGTAATGGTGTGTTTGTGTGTTCTATGTTTTTTTCAAAAAGTACATTCTACTTTTTTCTGGAAACTAGTCTCCATCTTGCAACCTTCCCACGTCATCAAACGTGGACAAATGCTCGTGCACGTGTTGCTCGCGGTGCTCATGTGATGCGTATGCCTCGCAGCACCCTACGGCATTCGGGAGGCGACAGAGAGGATTGGCTCCCACAAGCGGTACACCATCCCGGGACACCTGTAAGCAAGATTTAGGCCTACCTCTTTCATGCCTCGCTGACGAGTCCAACCCTGCTGCACCCGTGGTTTCGGAGTGCATCTTGGCTGTGTAAACACAACCCCCACACAGCGATAGCATCTAATGGGAACGCACGCCATGCTTCGTTTCACCTCGTCTGAACGCAGCCGACAGTACAAACCGAAAGAGCTAGTCGAGCAGCGTCCAAAGCGCAATCTTGCGGCGTTCCTTATTCTTACGTTCTTGCGTCATCATTGGATAAACGAATTGAGTACGGGGAATGTGCCGTGACCTTGCAGTTTTTGTTTGTTCGGTCGCGCTTACGCGTGTTGAAACCCACGACCGCTCGGACTTACGACGAAACGAAATACAGTGGGTCTGTTAGGCCTACCGTAGCTCTTGAATAAGAGCAGATAACTTTTTAATCTGGGCACAGACGATAAAAATGAAGACCCCTTAGCTGTAGATTTGTTTTTCCACCAATTTAAAGACATCTCTTTACTTTGTGTGCACTTCGCTGCTCCACTCGAGGGAGAAGTCCGGAGACAAAATGCGAACGCGACTGAAGCTGGTAGGCAGAATTTCGAAAAGAGCCTGCTGGAAGGGCAGCCGTCGTTTTGCCGAGACAACTTCTTGAGAAGCCAAGTCTTTTGGCAAAACGTAAGCTGACACTCCTAGGCTCCTTTTTAAGCCCAAAGAAGGATCTAGTTTTAACGGTTACCAAATTAATGAATGGACGGCGTGCCATGTGATAGTATGTATTCTTTACAGTAAGGCTACACAACATTTGCTGAGATGCGAGTTTGGGCACGAGATGCGGTGCGACGGCAACTCTCGTCTCTCGCTCGTGCGCAGGGCAGCTCAACACGTCCCGTCCAAGGTCACCTACGGGCTGAAGGACGTCCTCTCGGACTTGCTCAACTTCGGCGCCCACCACCTGAACCTGGGCGGCAGGCTGGTCTTCTGGATGCCCTTCTACAACGATGAGTGAGTGTGCTTCCCTTTAGCAGCACGGTAGCACACGTTTTTGGGAAGCTCGCAATCTCGACGCCTCGCTCCGCACGTTTCCCATGTCGGAAACTCGACTCGCGTCAAGATGTCTGCTTCGCTCTTATCCCCAGCTTCAGAGAAGACAGTCTTCCAGAGCACCCTTGCCTGAAGCGCATCGACTGCAGCCAGCAGCCACTGTCCAAGCACTCTTCTCGTCTTCTGCTCACGATGGAGAAGACGACGGAGCCGGACGTACGTAGCGTTCTCACGTCGCATTTTAAAAGAAAGCATTTTTTTTTTTTGTCGGCGTGTTTATGCAGCAATTATGAGCCGCAGGTTAGCCGTACATTGAGCGACACCGTTGGCGCAAACATGACATTGGCACTTTTTCAAATTTTACGTTTGAAAGGTGTTTTGCAGGCACTAATCTTCGTTTGTTAGTGCTCCAAATGAGCACTTTCCATCACACTTGCAGTTTTGTGATGACCTCACAATTCTACGAGAGAAAAGGAAAAAAAAAAAATGACGATTCACTTCTGAGTCGGTGAAGAATGGAAGCTTACGGTTTTTAGACTTGCAGCTATTGAATTGTGGAGGGCGTCGCTGGTCGTATGGGAAGGAAGCTGCTTAGGAGGGTTCTGTCCAGGTGGAGTGGAGCTCAGTCGAAGCTCGTAAAAGTGGGAGTAGTGAGGCCACTAATTGGTAATGGACTGAAGAAATCTTGCTTTCATTGTGTTGGAAATGACCTTTGCATTCAAATCAAACACCTATAATTGACTGGGTATAGTGTGGAGTTTATTGGCTCAAGTGTGTGTGGACAACTCCTAGGTGCCTTTGAGAGCATTGAACAGGTTAAAAAGTAAATTATTGCGGTAGCTCATTATTTCTCTGGCCTCTTGCATTGCTTAAAGGCTCTAGGTGTGAAATTCAATGTAAATGTGGTTTTTCGGTTGGACTCTCAATTAAACAAACTCGCACCTTTTACTTTCTAGCCTGAAAGGTGTTGCGGCGAAAAACATAGAGACCCTTCGGTGAGCTATGCCACAAAGGTGGTGTACAGGGTTGCCTTGGACTGCGGGTTGCGTTATTTTCGGCAGACGGGGCGTTGTGTCAGTGACCGCCTCACTGAACACAAAAGAAATGTAGAAAATAAGTCGCAGAATTTGGAACTTGCTAACCATGTGGGCTCGTATATTCATGTCACCCTCTTTATGATAAAACTTGTTTTTTGCAACGAGAACACTGTGTTTAGAAGACTAATTCAAGCAGACTTTATGTGTAGGCGAGCACGGGTAAGTGTGTGAGCCAACCACCTCTAGTTACAAGTGATTGGATGAAGGAGTTTTTGCTTTTGTGATGTGGAGTGCTGTCTTTGGTTGGGGCAAAAGCGAATTGCTGTACGAAGATTGGGGAGGTAAGGTTTTGAGGGCTTTCGAGCTTGACCCGAATGGTTGACCTTGCGAGAGGAGGTTCTGTTCAGGAGAAGGTGCATTTCCTGTCCAGGTGTTTAGCCTTGGGAGTGGCTTAGTCTGTCCGCCAGAGGTCGGTGGGCATCCCATTTATGCATTTTGGGTCCCTTTTTGCTTTTTTTCTCCTCTGTTTGAAAGTCTATTTATCGGTAGGATTGATCAGTCGAGGCTCTGCATTGTTTTGTCCGTTTTCTTTCGTCTTCCCCATCTCGGGGTCCACAAGCGCGACGATTGCTCGTTCGGGCCAACGGCATCGCATGGCGTACTTTCCCTCGGTACTTGCGGCACCTTGAATCGGTCGACTGTTCCGTTTCAGGAAACTGCGAGCGCCCAGATATCTTCTGCAGCGGACAGCTTCCGAGACCGCTACTTCACCGGAGGGAAAGGGAGGTCCGGCCAGAGCAGATGACGCTCGGATGCCGGTTAAAGTCACGTCGGAGACGGTTACGGGCGACTTTCGAGGGAATGCACGGGTGCTGTTGCGGCCTGTTTTTGTTGTTGTGCACAGAAGAAGCGGTCTTCTTTGTAGCCACTTTGTTGTCGGTGCTATGGTCACCGACGAGAATGACCCTCGAGTTGTACCTCCTCCCGCACGAGCGTGCACACGTAGCCAGAGCACGGCGAAAGACAACGAGCAGGGGCCGGAAGCGGGGCATTCGAGAGAGAAGCCGTTCTCGTCCCGTCGGTGACCGTAGCACGACGCGACGTTTTTTTTTACGACATTTCAGATTCAGCGGCAGTCGGCGTCAGCAGAGTATTTCGACGCGCTACTGGTAACGAAATTTCTCCGCAACGCTACAGCAGAGCTTGGTACGCGGCCGTACGTGGCAATGTCGGTGACAAGGGGTCTAAGTGCTGCTGGTCTAGCCAGCTTAGCCGGGAGTTCAAAGCCGCCCTGAACGAGCCACCAATAAATCGCTGCGACACATCATCGCACCAAGAGCATTTCTCGTTAAAGCAAGCGTCTTCAACTCCGCACACTCAGTCAACTGATCAAACTTACTTTTCTAGAATGTTCTCCAAAATATTGCTCATTCTTCTTCGTGCCTCAAAACGAACTGTCGAAGCCGCCATTGCTGTCAAGGTTCGGTGCCATCAAGTAGGGGCGCCGCGAACCTGTAGGCTCGACTGTCTGGCTCTTTTTCACCTGCAAAAACACCTTTTTTTGTCTGAAAACGAACGAGGTAAGCTCATTTCCAATTTTTGTTATTAAAGATATCTAAAGAATGACCGATGCTCGCATACGGGAATTAATTAGACGTCAAAAATTGTTGGAGTACGAGAAATTGTTTAAAAACTACCTGTAATCGCAAATTAGAGGTGGCTCGCCGAAAGTGGGGGTGGTCAAACGGTGATGCCCCCTCCGTGACTGTGGCGCTCCTAGCAGCAGTTTTTGATCCTGTACCAAACTTTGGCCGAAGTTTCGTGACGGCAGTAGTCCACCGAAGGACTCTGGCGCTGGGGACAGCAGTTGTCTCAAATTGTTGTTTCGGGGGGTCTTCGTTGAGTTGTTGTCCTCTCATTACTGCCGAAACATCTGAGGCATTGTTGCATTGAAGCATCTACCGTAGAATACAGTGTATCCACCCATTCCACATTAAGAGGATACTACAACGAAATTTCCGCACTCATTTTTTGGTTACATTTTTGGTTTTTGGTTAACAAGACGTACCAATATCTTGTTAAAAAAGTTTTAAAAAGGAATTTTAAAACAAAAACGATTAGCAAAGAGCACCTGGTGGATGTCACTAACGCCTCGCTTGTAATGCCCGTCTAGGAACCTTGACAGCTAGTGACGGAGGTTGTCTCGCCTCCGGCCATTACGAGAGAAGAGGGGCAGGAGGAACTCCCCTCTTCCCGAGAATGCTTTTTGTGTGTCGCAGAAGTCGCTATTGTCCCCCTACAAGATTATAGAAGATTAACCCAACACTCAAAATTCGTACAAAAGCAGCCGCTTCGGTGGCTGGAACGACTAGGCCATCCTCTCAACGTCAGCCTCGCCATAGCTTTGCTCGTCCCGAGACGACCTGCGCCACGATTGCGTTGGATGTCACGTAGTCTCCGCTGGGCCTTCTCCGAGCACTTGCCAGAGGGGGGCCGTTTATAACGAAAAATACAGCCACCAGGCTCAAAATACTACAAACGTCCGATTGTCATTTACGGATATTGTGGATCATATTCAACTTATTTTTGAACACGACGGGAATATTTCAAATTTCGTTGAAGTATCCCTTTAAGCGCCCATTACCACATTTCTAAGATCTGAGTGAATACGCACGGTACATTTATATGTAAAATTGATGACTGGACAAGCGCCCATCCCCCATTTTTTTGCGATCATCTGCAAAGTTTGAGTGGGCGCTTGCCCGGTATTTTACGGTTCATTCGGCCGGGGTTCCCGGAGCTTGATCGAAGCCAACATTCAATATTGAAAGAATGTTTTGCAGCACGGTGTTTTATTCTCAGTATTATTAGTCATGTTCTCCCAGTTTTAGTTTGTATTAGTATGTTGAGTTAAATTCAAACGAAATCAATGTACTACAACCTTTCACAAAATGAGTGTCCCTCAACCGTTGTATCCAAAGCACACTGTAGCCATTTTTGGATGACGTACAAAGGAATGTTAACGCTTATTATAATATATTATTGACAGTATTGGACAACTGGGCCACTTGCTCGCAATCTAAAACTTGGCTGTTAAGTGTACTGAATGCAAATAAAGTATTAGCAGTACTTCATGGTGATACTAGCTGAAGCTGGCTATAAAACAGGCACGAATTTGATTGAATAAAGACCAAATTCTGCCAACCAGTAAGATTACTTTAGTTTGTGACAGGCTAAGAATTCAGGAGAAGCTCATTTCACCCTTTTCCACATTAGCGGAGCAAATGCTGGAAAGAAGGTTGCCTCCTTTCCACCATTCGCTCCGCTAAAGTAAAAAGAGGCGGGAGGATTTTCCTCTGAACTCTTAACCAAACCATACTGTCACAGTCCCATAATGAACTCTGTCACAGAAATACTAGGGGTAAAAAAAAAAAAGGTAGATATCTGTACATCAACCAAAGGTGAATGCCACACGCGACATCGGAATCACAGAAGCAGCACCTCGCCAGGCAACGAAATGTTGCGTCGTTTTGTTTTCGTATAAATACAAAGTTACAAGCCACTTGGGGCGGACACCTAGGGTGCTGCTGTCAGTTTATCTGGAGGGAGGTTAGCATGCCCTCCAGAAGCTTTACTTGAGAGTCTTCACACTGCCGTTCCTGCAACGACAAAACGGAGGGTTTGACAACGGCTGGTGTACCCTCAAGGTGCAGTCTACACAGTCTCCACCGTTATGAAAGACCCACTCGTAGCGCGTGGCCGAGTGTCGCATTCCACGGCCGAGCTAAAGAAGAGAGAAGCGGGCAAGAGGCACAAGGAGAAGCATCATTCGAAGTAGCGGAGCCCAGATTTCGGCGACGACCCGAAGATGGACGCAAGGGTGCCGATGAAGCTTTGAGCGACAGATTCGGCGATGACCTAAACCAGTGGCAGCAACTCCACGCAGTGGCTCGAAACGAGCCCACAACCGAGTAGTTCGAGACGTGGACTGTACCGACCATCAACAGCAGAGACCGAGCGTCAGATCGTCACGTGCAAACGAACGTTCGAGACTATCGATAACTTTTGTACATTTGTATGTTAGTTTCTTAGCACTCTTCTTTCTTCTCCCTTTGTGTAATATAGCTTCATTTCTCCCAACACCGTGCACCCTTTTTCTTCTCCAACGGTTAGACCCTGAAACGTGGCATTTGGCAAGTCTGCCAGGATCTCTTGATCAGATGTCGATAACATCTGATCAAATTGGCCGGGGCGCACATAAATTGGTGGAGATGAGAATAACAATATGGATACTGAGAGATTGTTCACGACGTGGAAGAACTTCGGTAAATGTTGGTGGATAGGTGTACTGTCCGCACAAATTTTGTTTCTATAGTCCGTTGCAACCTAAGAACAAAGGGCGAGGGTAAGACGGGCCGGGGAGGAGGAAGCAGACGGAACGCTAATGAGAGAAGGAGGTTTCCTCCTCTCTTCTCCAGCGTTCCGTCTGCTTCCTCCTCCCCGGCCCGTCTTACCCTCGCCCTTCGTTCTTAGGTTGCAACGGACTATAAGTGCATTGGCATTCTGCACTGGATATTCTTGTCGTGACAACTCGGGCTCATTCTTCCTTCGCAAATGATACTACCCTGCAATGACTAGCTTAGCGCTTGGTAACGAATTGAAACTTAGTGAAGTATTTAAAATGGGTAAAGCCGTTGGACTCGAGGGTTTAGGTTTGAAGGACTGGTGATAAGCCTTGCTGAGTTAGCAAAGACGGAGCTAACAGAAGAGCAAAACCTCGGCGCCGTTGAGTCGGTGCCGAGGTCAGCTTTCCCCTTCGGTGGTCGGGAGCCTTCCCCGGGTCATTGCCGGGTTCCTTTCAATGACTTCGGGGCACCACCCCAAAGCTGCGACCCTCTTCGGGCCGTCGCTGAGACAGTGGCTGGCAGAGTGTGTTGTCGACAATTCTATATCGCTCCAAGGGGAGCGAAACTTGATGCAGCCAAACCGAATAGGTACACACTGACGAAACAACTTCCCTTCTCTCCGAGCGACATGAAATCGGCTGAAGTGCTCTAACCATCCGCCATCTCGGCCATTTGCTTCGATTGGGTCTTTCGTACTGGCAAAGACTGTACATACTCTGACGCAACAGAATCCACTTCAACCATCTTTGCTCGTCAACAGTCCAGACGGGCAACAAAATCGTTACGACTTTCTTTTAAACTTTCTCGCGACAATATAAATTCATGTAGGCTCGTTTCATTTTAATTGTGGCACCTGCAACGCGTCTTGAACACTGGTGTGTTTAGAACAGGGTAGAAAATAAAAATCAATGATACAATCTAACTCGTGATTTAGATTGTGGTTTAAATCTGACCAGTTTTATTATGATGATTTAAATCTGACCAGTTTTATTTTGATGATTTAAATTGAATCTTTCCCTCAAGAATATTCCCCGAAACATACTTTTTGTTTACTGTTTGTCTATCACTCGATGCTTTCGACGTGCATTTGTTTTATATTTAAATCAAAATCATTGAAGGTTTATACAGGGCTGAACATGAACAAAAAGAAACACTCTTTACAGCGTCGAGCTTGATATCTCCCTTCCATTCCGTTCGTCATTATGTAATGTCCCATTGCAACCAAATCAGAACGCAAAAGAAACAAAAACCAGGACAATATTGTCCTATTGCAATAAACTCAAACCTCAAAAGAAAAAGAAAAAAGTTTTTTCACTAAATTAAAAAAAAGGGGTTGTTTTTTGTTTTAGTATGACATTACAGAAATAAAAAGTCAAAGGAACTTTACAGAAATCCTTTCTTCCGCATTGTTATTAGTGGTGGGACGGATTCATCAGTCAATTTGCCAAGTCGAAAAATACATCTGGTGGTAAAAAATAATTTGTTTCTAGCTATAGTGAGTTAAATCAAAATAATCTGATTTAAGTCAAATAAATCTAATGGACCATTTGCAATATTCCCAAGCGCCCTGGCCCGCACTCAAGGAATCATGGGAATCGTGTTCCTTGAGCTCCCTAGTGATTGGTAATTTCGACAAATTCTATGGTTCCCGAGTTTTTAGCGTAATTCAGTCACCCTGAACAAGCGCTTTATAGCCCAAGGACTTGTCATATCACTTTTAAAATTTCTCGCCAATGTCAGCATTTTTGACACTGTGCATGTGATCCACCTTTCAACCTGGCTGAGCTGCAGAAATCTTACACTATTATCATTCTCGTGATTGTAGTTTTAGCAGAAATTGCTTAAAAAAGCCGAGAATTCACAACAACAAAAACCAGGATTTAGCTCGGAGTCAGCGGGGCTGTTTATAGTATTTTTAGTGTTTCTAACTTAATATCGGCGTCTTTGAAGCTGCGTGAGAATGATAATAATGTAAGAGAATAATGTAAGGGATTTCTGCAGCTCATCCAGGTTGAAGGGTGGACAGCATGTACAGTATCGAAAACGCTGACACTGACGAGAAATTTTAAAAGCGATATGACTGGTCGAATTACACTCAAAACTGTTTAAGGGGGGACACTACCCAAAAAAGTAAATTTTCGAACCACTTGTCCGATTTAAATTATATTAACAGGGCTTGTTTCTGTTGATGTTGAGAACATTTCTGCCAATTTTTGTTAACCTGGGTGAAGTACAAAAAAAATTACAAACGTTCAAAGACGAAAGTGGGCACGTCTGCGTAGGAAAACTATTGTTTTGAAATCACTTATAAATTTGTCGTTTTCATATGTTATATTGCATTAGGACAGTTCAGAGCAGATAACTATGGAGCTATATTTCTATGTTATACCATCTTTCATGACAAAAAAGCCACATAAACACAAATACAGTTTTTTAGATTTCCATCCTTTGTCCAAACCTTTAGTTCTTGAACATGAAAAATGACAAAAATAAAAAATACAAGCTCATAGTTATCTTCCCCTTAAAATTTCACCCCAGAAAAACTCATAAAAATGAATCCAAGTTGCATAATAACAAAACGATAGTTTTCCTAAAGTGAAATTTATGCCAAAAAGTGGAATAGAGAAAATTGCGTTCAAAATGCTCCAACCTCTACCTTTTCTTTAGCATTGGTGGACCGAAAATAATTTATAAAAAATTAACTATGCAGTGTAAACTAATGAAACTTTCTGGGAATACACTTTATATGTTGGTGGATGTAAATATGACATTTTTCAAAATCAACTTTTTTTTGCAGAAATTGTTTTTTCTGGGTAGTGTCCCCCCTTAACCATAGAATTGGTTGAAATTACCAATCACCAGGGAGCTGAAGGAACATCGCTCCCATGATTCCTCGAGTGTGGGCCGGGGCACTTGGGGGATTCAGCAAATGGTCTGTACTTACTATTTAAAAAAAAATAAAAAATTTATACCCTGCTTAAGCGTCTTATATCGGCCACGCACTGAAAACGTTGGAGAAGCGGAGCACGCGCCACATCTCCAACGAGGTGCGGCACAAAATCAGTCTTGTTCGCGAGGGGCAATACGGATGAGGCTTGTAATGGCTAAAGGAGAACGAGCGAGCTTGGCGGTAAACAAGCGATAGAAATCAAACTGAAGGCAACGGTGCGCACCTGGTATTTTCGGGTGATCTGCTGAGAGGCCCAAGCCGCATACCGCTGGTTGTCTTTCTTCTTTTGTACGCTGCACTTGGGCAGGGAGGCAATGTGGCTGGACGCCTGGAACGAGCGATGTGCATAGTGTCGTAGGTGCCGACGACCGCCTCTTGTTTTGCATCTTTACGAGCTCCCTAGGCCCGAGAAGCGACAACCTTTTATTGCTAGACAGTCGCTAGAAGTGTCTTCCGCTGGTTTTGAAGACACGTTGACTAGAAGTACAGTGGGACCCTCCTTCCTAACCGGCATCTCTGTTTTGTGACTTTCGCTGAGTTTTTTGTTGCGAACTAAAATAATTTGTTTACACGTGGTGGGGCATGTTTTGTTCTAAACTAAAAAAATTTGTTTATAAATGGTGGGGCTTGTTACAGCTTGTAACAAGAGTTTACAACAAATCATAACCTTGTCAGGCACTGCGCTACTTGTGAATCAAAGCACACAGTGACATGTCCTACAAACACCAGGTATTAAGCATGAGCTAGGAGTGTTTAGGTTCCTTCTTAAATTTAAAATTCCTGCTTGTGCAGAGGCAATGCAACTGTAATCTAGCATCTTTTTTCTTTTCTTTCTTCTAATCATGCGAACATCACTGTAAAACCCAAGAATTACATGAATTGTTAGGCTTTCCTCAGAAAAAATGTGTTGGAAAGTTCTTGTACAGTGGTCAGGACCCATGAAATTTACTTACCAGGAAAAGTCCGTAGAGTGCTCGGATGTTGTTGGGGTTGAGTTTCACGGCCTGTGCAAAGTATGCCCTTGCCAGTTCCATCGTTTCAAAGTTGCCTATTGTGTACTGGACCTGCAATGCATGTGTGCAGGCAGTAAGCTCCTGTTAGAGTACTAATCCTTGTCTAGGTTTTGGGGTCAGTCAAGTGTGACAAAAACCGAAATATTTCTACCAGTTTGTATATTTGACCTGAATACGAGCACTGAGAGTAGGTCTACATATGCAGGTAGTGCCACAATGTATCTCGCTTGTCGTCCTCGCTCTAGATAAAGAATTCAATGCCCCTATCAACTGCTGAAGCCATCAACTTGCAGACGTGTCAACTAACAGGCCCTTCAACCACAGACCCTTTAACTTGTAAAACCATCAACTTAGACTCAATTAACTTAAAACCCCATTAGTTGGTAAGGCCGTAAGTTGGTGCTCTCAGGTTAATAGTTTGCCTACATCGTAGCCCTTCTTCCTGTGTATCAAGGCGGCAGTGCGGGCAAGCTGGTTCATCACAAAAACAAAACAAACAAGAATACAGGCAGAGAATAAAAAAACTAAAGAGGACAAGTGCCATTGTCTTGTTTAAACAGGACAGCACTTTTCTTGTTTAGTTCTTCATACTGAAAACAGGATAAAGAGCTAAACAGGCAAGCTCCGTCTTGTTTAACTTATTCTCCGTCCTCAATCTTTGCACGCTGTTTTTGCCTTTTCTCCGTCGCTTACGAGGAAACCGACTGTGCGTTGCAAGAAAGTAGAGGAGCAGCAATACAATTCCCCTCTCGCCTTGTGCTCCTCCCCACACATCTTGAGAGAGAGGGGCGCACCTCGGCATAGCGCTGGTAGTAGAGGTGGTTGTGGGGGTTGCACAGGATGAGCTCCTCGAGGCAGAAGGCGGCCCGGGGCAGGTCCTGCTCGCGCAGGTAGAGCCCGCTCAGCTGCAGCCAGGCCTCCTGGTCGCCCATGAAGCGCTTGAGGTAGTCACTCAACTCCCGGATGGCCTCCGCCACCTGGTTCTGGGACAGCAGCAGGGCCACCCGCCGCTTGTGCACCACTGCATTGGCCTCCTCCTGCCCCAGCAGGGACTCGTAGCACTGTGCAGCCTCCTCGTACCTGCGCATTTGGAGAAAACAGATGCGACCTGTTGTAATCAAACATTGGTGGATTTAGCAGATGCTATCAACCCGTAAACTTGCAGACCTGTCAACTGATAAGTCCATCGGTTGATCTATCGGGTGACTGGGTAGCTTAGTTGATGGGTATACTAGTTATTGGCTCCATCACTGACGGGTCCATCAGATAACTAGTGAATCAGTTGACGGGTCTATCAGTCAGTGGGTCCATTAGTTGACGGGTCCATCGCTAGTATACTGAACTTATGCCATCAATGTGCAAGCTAAGCGATCAAATTGACATGAGCCATCTTGCAAGTTGGCACATCACTTCGGAGTCTTCAATGTCCAATATTTACGACTCATGAGTTGTGCCTCAGTATCGGGTGGTTTGCAGCAGAGACAGGTGTACAGTTTTCATCACGGCTTTTCCAGCTTTCCCATGGTGCTCTTACTTTTCCAAGGCCTCCAGCTGCATTGCTTCCAGCTTCTTCACCCGTAAGCTTCCCGGGAACTCCTCGTTGAGTTTGGACAGGCACTCCTGCACGAAGCAAGATGGAGCAAAAGCACATAGATGTCAAAATGCACATATATACTTGGTGGTAAATTATGGCCGTAGCTGGTCACTAGAGTTCATAAAAAATTGCCCGAGTGAAGGAGGGGCATCCTGTTATTAGCAGAACATTTTTAGTGTCCGACAACATGGGTTGCTAATGTAACCTAGAAGCCAGAAAATGTGAGGTTTTTTTTTTCTGTTGTCCTCCAACACATTGCTCGCACAGTTTCAGCAAGTTAAGAACATAGATAAAGATTTGGAGCTAAACACTAGAAGATGATAACGAGCAACGTTCTGCGACATCGCTGATCGAAGACCCGGTCAGAACGGACTGCGACCAGTCTCGATGATATACAAAGCGCAAGTTTTTCTGTTTCTTGCACAGGGGTTGCGGTGACATCAGAACACCGAGCTCTCATTGGCTCCGATTGGAGGGATAGTGGGTAGACCTCGAGGCTAGCTGCCTCGAGGACCACCCACTATCTTTTCAACCTGTGCACCTGGATCAAACCCTTCAAAGTAGGAATAAAGTAAGTATTATTCTTATTAGCCAATCAGAGCTCGGCATTCTGACGTTACCGCAACCCCTGCGCAAGAAGCAGACATACTTTCACTCCACACAGCTACTGGCAGGGTGAGAGTGGCAGGGCATCCCTTTTGGATGACCCGCTGCCAGCGGGCGCTTATTGCCCTTCCTCATGCTAAGGCTGCGCATGCGCGCTGGAGGCTTGGGAGACGCCAGAGCTTAAAGTTGGAGACTCTGGCATCTGAGAGGACAAAATGTGAGGTTTGAACAAATCGGTCACCTTCGCAAGTTTCATTTCATGGCAGTCCAGCGCCGCCGTGCATACTTGTTCATAGACCACCCACTCTGCAAAAGGGGGGATGCAAGCAATGAGCACGGTTCAGTGACCACCCGTGTTGGGACTGCATATGTGGATGTAGTATGCGCGTGTGTGGGTGGAGGTAGCTTACTTTCGTCGCCAAGCTTGTTGACGTGTTTCGCGATTACGTTGTACCAGATCTCGACGGTTTCTTCCGATCGGCGGTCATTCTCGTCCCTCCACTGGCGCAGAGTCTCCCGAGCACCTGGAATCCCGTAAATTGCATGGAACCAATGTAAAAAGGGGAGCGAAGCCGGCAGAAGAACGCGAAGAGGTAAACCTCGGAACGGCGTGCCGACGCTTCACGAGGAGACCTAGCTTCTCCAGGCTGAAGAAACTTTAGTGAAACGTCGACACGTCGTTCTGAATTTTAACGGAAGCTCCCTCTTTACATGGAACCAATGTCATAAACATGCATACAAACGCCAGTCACACCACGTCATAAAAACCGCCGCAGGCTCGAGTTTACGGTGCAGCGTGTAAAAGGTAGTACGTGCAGCCGTGGTGTATATAGACCGTACTTACGTTCAAGTTCATCTGGAAGCGCAGAATATTTTCCAAGCGTTATTCAATGATTCGCGATTGATACCAGAATCAACTCGGCATTATGGCAGTAGTACGATGTGGACCGTGATGTTCTGATTTTGTTGTGGCTATCCGGAGACCGCCCCGAGTCGACGACAGTTTCCGCGACGCTCAAACAACGGAAATTAATTTTACCGGTGAGGACATATTTAATTTTTGTCGCGTTTTTTTCCCGTTCAAGGCTGAGTAGGGAAATACGCTGTTGTACCGTACTGCATGAACCAGGAGTCGGAGATGCTCCGGATTTTTACAGAATGTTTAGGTCTATCGATATTTCCAAGGAATTGCGAAAGAAGATAAATAGTTCTGAATTAACGGGCACGAACCTTCCCAATTCATGCGATGTATGTCGATGCTGCCGGTAGCCATGTTGGAAGTGCCGAATACATGAACCAATGGACAACACGACCGGCTGTGATGGATGGAGACACGGGAGATAAGGCTTATCTTGCAATAAACTGTGACAATCAATTACCAGCGCTGGATGGGCGGTAGCCTGCGCCACCTAGAGTCGTACACAATCGTTTTTCTTCGAGAAGGGTCTGCGCGTGCGTGGTATCGGTAATCTTGGAGCCCATAGGTAGTAAGCGGGAAAGTGTGGCCACCGAGTTTGAATTTTAAGAAATCACTGCCAAGAGGCTGGTGCGATGCCTAGCGCATGCGCACAACTTCCCACCGAAGGTAGTTCATACGCTCCCGCTTGGTGCGCCTCCGTGTTGATTGCAGATGGGAGTGTCTGCTCCGACGGCCGTCGCTCGAGCCATGTCCACACGGAGACGGCTCCTTCGACACCGGAAGTAGTAAAACGTCATTTCCGGTGTCAAAGTAGCTTGCCCTGTCTGGGCATAGCTCCTTCGACACCGGTAGTTGAGGGTGACATCACTTCTGGTGTCGCAGCCTCGTGCGACTGTCACCGCTGTCACTGCCCTTCCCGAGTCTGCGACTGGTCAAGTTCTGGGTTGGTTTCACGCAAGCTTTTTGCACTCATTTGAAGCGTTCCATTTGTCATTTGCCTGATTACTTATTTGTTTAACCATATTCATTAGTATTTACTGCCATTTTCTGTATTTTGCGCTTTGAACGCGTTAATTTGGATGTTGTATCGGGTTGTAAACGAGCGTGGTCGCACTCCCCACGTGCCTCGTGTGTTTTGGTAGCCGGTGATCCTTACTCGAACCAGTACTTCTCGTCGATTGACCGGAGGGCTACTGAGGTCGCCGCATCTAGTGGGATTAGGATTGAGAACTTGTTTTCACGGTCTGACAGGCTTGCCGATTTTGACGTTGCCATCGTGCACGTCGGCACTAACACCACCAGCGTTAGTGCTAGCGTGTGCAACAACAAATCTGGTCATTGGAATGTAGTCACGCTGCCGAGATGCAGGTTATGAATGACTACTACCGGGAGGTAAGCTCCCTGCAGCGCGAGTTTTGTCGCGAAGAGGGGTTCGAGTTCCGCGGCGGCTTGGCCAACGAGTAGCAGCAGTGGATTGGTCGCGACTGCTCGGAACGGACGACAGCCAAGTGACAGCAGCCCAGCTCGTGACCACAACCAAAAAAAAGAAAGCCCTTTTTATTTCCACGCGCCGCTCCTTATATAAGCGCTCTATAAATGATGGTGTCCTCTAGCGAGCAATAAGATAAACACCATCACCTTAGTAGTGCCCATACATCTCCCCTTAAGATCTATAAGTCAGTCGCCTTGGCGGTCCATTCACACGATCGCAAAGTCTGCGTCTCAGCCGAAGCCCTTGCTGAGGCTCTGGCGATGATGCTGGTTGACCCTCACCAGGCGTAGACTGCTGTAAGTTTGGTCCTTGATTTTGTTCACTGGCTGGCAGTTCCTTTGTTGACTGGCCTTTTGAGAAGGGTATTAGATGCGGACGGTTTCAATGCAGAGTTCCCCTGGGCGTTTCCACCACATATGACTGTGGTCACTGAGCGGAGCTGAGGATACTGCCTCGGCAATTGACGTCCTTAACCCACACGTCCTGAAGTATGCCGGCGATTGTGGTTGTTTGCCTGTTGTGACATGTTTGCGGCATCTCTTGCCTTGAAGTTCTGATGGCTTGGCAGTGATGGCTGAAGTTGTTCTGGTAGACCAGGAAGTCGAGTTAGTTTTTTCCCATTAACAGCTGGGCAGGAGAAACACCATTGACACCGGGTGTGTCTCGGTACGATAGGAGAGCCAGGTATTGATCGGTGCTCTTTGCAAACAAGTTCTTCACGATACGCACCATGCGTTCTACTTTGCCGTTATTCTAGGGGTATCGCTGGCTCCTAGTCTCGTGGCGAAATCTGCGCCTGAGCAAAGTCTGCAAACTCGTGAGATGCAAACTGCGATCCAATATCTGTCCGCACGACGTTCGGGATTCCATAGCAAGCCATGCAACTCTTGACAGCCGAGATGGCTGCTTGCGCAGATGTAGATCAGAGAGAGATGACCTCAGGAAACCTTGAGTATACTCTGTTTCACCTTATGCTGTACCGCAGCGAAGGCTAGAAGCGTGAGCTATTAGCGTTGGCAGCTGCCCTTGACGCTTGAGAGCTTGTGCCGCCGAGATGTGCCCTAGAGCAAGGAGCTCGCGCTTGTAGCCTTTCCTACGGTACAACACAAGGTGAAACAGAGTATAGTAGTCTACAATCAGAACATAGTCACATCCTTTTAGCAGGAACATTCGGAATGGACGATGACGAAGAGACAGCAGCCCGTGATACCCCCAGAGTAACGGTGAAGTAGAGCGCATGGTGCATACCGTGAAAGACTTGTTTGCAAAGAACTCTGATCCATTGCTGACTGTCCTCGTTGCAATCCAAGTCGGCCATTCCGCCGGGCTGGTGAAAGTGAATGGTGCTAAAGGATGAAGTCTCGACGCTCCGACGCAAACCACTTGGATACGGAGGTCACCTTCCGCCATAGTGACGGTGTTAGCTAGCTTCTGACACCATGTTCGGAACGGACGACGGCCAAGTAACAGCAGCCCAGCTCGTGACCACACCTAAAAAGAAGAAAAAGCCCTTTTACTTCGATGCATCGCGCCGGTTCTTATATAAGCACTTTATAAATGGTGTTCTCTGGCGAGCAACAAGAAAAACACCATCACCCTAGTAGCGCCCACTATTGCGACGGCATCCACCCAAGCCAGATGGGCAATAAGGTATGGCGTCTGTGCCGACGAGCACAAATATAGAGACATCGATCGCAAGGATGGCTACAGTAGTAGCCGTACAAGTAGGCATCTGTGCATATTTACTTGCAATGCACTTAAGAAAAAATGTTGACTGAGGTGTTTACAATGTGAAGGAGGCTTATTGCAGAAAAGGCACCGTGGTAATGTGAGCTTTCGGTTGCTCAACAAAAAATCCCCCGGTGGTCTAAATATTCCTGTGCCCTCCGTTGCGTTTAGCACGTAAACCTAAAAAAAAGTTTTTCAAAAATTTTACTTTTGAGGGTGTATGAAAATTACAATCACCCTTATACTTAGTGTTCACAAGAACTTAACTTGAAGTATTTGTTTTTAGTACTTTGCAAGGAAACTACAACTCCCTACCTCAAGTACATTCTCCAAACCTGGTCTTACTAAATTTGCATCGCTAAACGGTGCTAGGTTAACTCTGGAGAAATACTGCGAGGTATATTTTTACCTAGGGAGGTGCATAAGCAGACGATGCATTGCTTCATATTGTCTTTGAGAACAATGTCTTTTTCATAGTTCTTAGAAGACAACAGAGTTTTAGAGAACCATTTTTCAACTCTGATTTCGATATCATTGGTTCCGCTGGTATTAACTGCACATAGAATGTGTGCATCTGCATGTCATATTGTTACTGGAGCTGGAAAATGGTTCCTTTGAACTCTCTTAACCATACTTCGTCTTGGATGTTTCGTACAGCTCTGGGAAACACACAGGGACAAATGCATTGATCTGGGCACTGGTTTGTTTCGTGAGGGCTCAGGAAAATCTAGGCTCTTTCAAAACTCGTGCCGATGTCCTTGGCTTTCCAAATAGTACCTACGACTTCTGAGGTAGAGTATAATTTTGCACCAACCTAACAACCAAGTGGTAGGTTGTTATCATACAAAAGTGTTGATTTCTTTCAAAACCTCTTCTGGCCATTCCTCTCAGAGGACTGGCAGTTATAAGTGCATGCAATGTCATTCCTACTTGTTCTGGCCAAGAAGTACAAGTTTGAAGGTGTGAAATTTATGCTACAGAAGGTAGGAGCATGGTACGGAGTAATGACTGCTGATGTAACGAAAATGCAAGCCATGTGTAGCTCATCGGGGAAAGAAAAAAAGTACTGGGTGGCCTCTTGGCTATGTCTGATATTTGCCGCTAGTACCGCGAATAATTCCCATATTACAACACACTTGAGTACCTATGCATACCATGATTTGAAAGACACTCAGAGTGGGAATGAAGTGGACCACAGTTTACTTTATTTAAAAAAAAAGACTGCATTTATTGTACTTTACTTCAACTGCATCACGCCTTGTATACTTACTACTCAACTTGATGTACATAATTACTCTAACTTTACTTCAAGTAGTTTTTAGGTATGCTTTACTTTATGAAACACTGCTTAAAATTTTAAATGGACACTAACTCAGACAATTAAGTTAGGCTGACAGTCAGGTTTGGTGCTCTAGTGTAGAGGTTAATAGTTGGGCACTCTCAACTATGTGGGCAGGTTCTTGCCAAGTTCATGGACCAGCAGGTGCAGAACATCGTGCAGAAGGTGGCCAGGGCCAGGATTCAGCAGGAGTACTAGGGGATGCAATGAAGGCTTCCTCAAGTGCTGGCTGGACCATCAAAAGTGTTCCACCAGCCATGCTCTGTGAGGTTGAGTTTCCTCCACTTTGCTCTCCTGCTGCTTCCGCACCACCTCTGCCACTTGCTTCTGCTGCTTCCTCCCCTGAGAGTACCTGTGCACCTTGTGAAGCAGCTGCTGATCACGTGCAGAGATGTCAAAATCTGCAGGCTCTCCTGTACCAGGTGCCTGCATGGCCTCTGAGCTCGTTTTGGACAGAAGCCAACCAGTTGTCACATATGGAAAGGCTGAGCGGAGGCACACACGAGGCAAGCCGTCTGATGTGCCAGTGAAGTAGAGCCATGGTGCTGGGTTCAGGCTGGTTGGTGGTGTTTGAGTCCACAGCAAGGATAGTCAGGTAGGGCAAACCTGGGAGAGCATGCCTCTTGCTAGTGTAGAAGAGTGCCTGAAAGCCACATCTTCAAGGAGCACAGCTTTTTTGAGTAGAAAAGCTATACTCCGTTCCACCTTTGTTCCGAGCGCAGTGGACGCCATAAGCCATTCCAGCCGATCCAGCGCCAGGAGAAAATTGCGTGACCTGCCTGTTGGGCAGAGCGACACCTGGAGCTCGAGGTCACATGCCACCCTCTCAACGCTGGATTGGCTGGGATGGCTCCTATAGCGTCCACTGCGCTCGGACTGAAGGTGAAACGGAGTATAGTGCAGAGGAGTGCCCGAAAACCACTCCCTTTGGAAGCACAGCTTTTGGAGGGAATGGTGAGTGTGAAGCTAGTGCAGAGGAGTGCCCAAAAGCCACTTCCTTGGGAAGCACAGCTTCTGTAAAGGCTTGCGAGCAAGCAGCCCTTGTCACTGCTGATGCTTCGGGTAGAAAATCTAGTGCAGAATGCCTAAAACCACTTTCTTGGAAGTCGTAGCTTTTGCAGAGAAAGGTGAGCATGAAGCTAGTGTAGAGGAGTGCCCGAAAGCCTCTTCTTCGGGGAGCACAGCTCCTGTAAAGACATGGGAGCAAGCAGCCGGTGCCACTGGCAATGCTTCAGGTGGGAAAGCTAGTGCAGAGAAGTGCCTACAAGTCACTTCCTCGGGGAGCAAGGTGGTGTGCCCTTTCCGAAGCACGGTGAGAGGAGGGAAGCAGCGTGGGTGAAGTACATTGAGCATGAAGCAAGGGTCTCGCAGGCAGTGTAAGGCACTAAACCATACTGCCACCATTGCATCCCCCACCATTGCTTGGGATGGAGGAGACCTTGCATAGGGTGCCACTGTTCTTTGCATGTGTCTGATAATCCATTTTCTGGCTTGGGGGAGGACAGCCCAGCATGTGCGACAAAGAGCAGGGCCACTGGAGGCAAGCATCCCGCCACAGCTTTGCTGTAGAACCATTTTCCTGCAGGCCAAGTTTAGGAACTATCCAACCTATCTAGCAGCATTTGAAGACGACCAAAAAAGGGTTGCATGTATCTTCGAAAAAAAAAAAAAAGAAGGTCCAGGGATTATTTTTGTCAAAGACATGTTTACTAGTTCAATCTGATGAATTTAAGTACTCCATGGTTGAGTTCATCTAGTCAAACCAACAGCTAACTCCTTGGCTCAATGCGGTGAACGAGAGCTAAATGAAAAATTGGTCGATATTCAGGCATTCCTTAGCAGTCTTACAACCTTCCCTAGCAACCAGGTGCAGCTCTTGCCATAGTCTGTTGCACCCTGTGCAGCTCGAGAGGATGTATCTCAGCAGCAGCTAATAGACAACAATCGGTGGGGCAACTTTTTCCGAAAAACTGTGCATTAGTTTGATTAAACGCAGGAGGCAGACCACGAAATGTGACAGTTATAAGAAAGCATGCACTTTCTGGAATGTTCCACAACAAGGCACTTCACCTTAGTATGATAGGGGCAGACTTAATTCCTCTCTACAAAAGTTATTCACTTACTGAAAAAGAACTGACATGTGTAAGATCCAACAGTTCTCTGTCTGATAGTGTTATGAATATTGTGCGGTACTTAACACGTAAAACATTTCCACATTGGGGTGGTTTTCAAGCTGTTCTGTTAGCTGAGGGACTAAAATTCAAACAGGTGAGAGATGCTTTCATTCAGCTATTGCGTACAAAAGTTCCAGACCATTGGCAGTGATGTGATACTTGTGCCAAAGGGCTACATCTTGCTGCATTTGACCAAAATCTGAGGAACTCTGGCCAACATTGCGCCAAAACTTAATTTTAACAACTCGCAATTTGGCTGGAACAATAGGATTGTGCAAGTTGGCAGATCTTTAGAATATTACGTCATATAACATACTAACTCGGTCTGATTTCGCATCAAACACAGACATTACTCGTGTAAGCGAGTGCCATTGTGTTTTTCCCTTTTTCTTCTATTTTGCCGGGCGCATCCCTGAAGTCGCCTACGAAGCTCAGAGGGCACGAATGTTGTGTTCTTAAAGGCATGTGTTAACACCCACTCTTCGGCATCAGGGGTCTCAAACGTGGGTTCCAGCGCTATGAAGATGCAACTGGCTGGCGTCGGACCGGATGCGGCATCTGCCAGCCAGGCGAGACCAAGCACCGCGAGAGAAGAACTATACAGCAGTCTACCTGCAAGACTCTGAGCAAGAGCATTGTGCGATGGTGGTATGCAACCACCATAGTTCCCAAATTTGTAAATTTGGGAACTATGGCCTAAATTTGTACTTTCGACTATATTAAACCCAGTGTTTTTTTAATTGCCAAAAGCTTAGTTGTCAAGACCTCATTTATTTTCTAGAATATATTTTATTTGAGACTATTTCTAACACTCGGAAGTTCCGCAATAATTTTCGCATTCTGTTCTGGCGGGTTAGTTTCGTGGAGTGCGCTTCTCACCGCTCACTGGTGTACTGCAGTGAAGCGACAACCGCGGAGTAGGCATCGCGATTTTGTGTCTTGCTTTGCTGCAGCGCACCTGTGTGCTAAGGGGAAAGCATGCCTCCAGAGCGAGACTGGACGATTTTTGAATAAAATTTGGCTTGTATGTATGATAGACTGACTGCAGTATCGTGGAGGTATCTTTTTCCAATTCTAGATTTAGCAAGGATACTTCAGTATAGCAAATATATTTATGTGGACTCTTCTTTAAGTTAATGTTTTATGCCAACTTTTTTTGTTTAGTTGTCACTCTTATCTAGGTGTGAGTGAATTAGCAGTTAAATTACCAGAAGTAGAGAATGCAAGCTTGAGAAGAACCTTAACGAGTTCGGCGGAGTTGTTTATAAGAAGGCATATTTATCATTTACAGGCCCATTTTAGGGGCGAAACTCCTGAGGGTCCAGCCTTGTCCGGCGTCCGTGCTCACATCAATTGCCATTCCATGTCTTCTTAAAAAAAAAGAAAAGATGTTTGTGCAGTCAACAGGATTCAAACCTGTGCGGGGAGACCCAATGGATTTCTAGTCCATCGCCTCAACCACTCGGCCACGACTGCGGGACGAGTAGGGAGCTCTGAGATGTGGTAGTAACTCAAGAGCTGGGGATGTCATGGATGAAACGTTGCATGTAGCTGCTCAACGTCTATACAGGAGAGGGCGCTGCTGTCAAATGCATATATAACCACGTTCCCTACCACATATTCCATACCAACGCAACCCAAAGCCCAGCACTACCTATGAATAAAATTAGTATCATCAGCACCACCGAGAGCTTCGCCCCAATCAACATCATTCACCACGTGGAGATGCGGTCATTTTGTTTTGTTATGAAGTTCTAGGTATAAAATATAATTGATGTTTCATAATCAAATGACAAGTGCTTTTTTTTTTCTGTATTAAGAACTGCAGTTTCATTACAATCTCTAGAACTTGAAGGAAACAAATTTAGGCACTCAAAATTGTTGTATTCTAGCATTATGTCACTGGGATTCCATACCTAAATTTACAATTCACCACAATTCATGCTGTCCTTCATCTGTCATCTTCTTGTCACCGTGTCTGGTGCGTCTGCACGCAAGTAAACTGCTAGTTTTGTGCTTGAGGAAATCAATCCTGCTGTGCAATCGATGATAACAAAAGGTTGCTCATAAGTGAGAAGGTAAAGTAGACTCTGCCTAGTTGGACAGGTCAACACATGAATCTTAATGTATATTTGCAGTGCTATGAATGAAAATGGAATGTGCGCTTGTGCTCCAAAAGTTCTTTTGGCTGGTCCAAGAGCTGCTCCAAAACGACTGAGCGATCACGTCACTGCATTGGCTCTCAGTATCAAACATTGGGTCACCTCCAAACTCTGTCTTTGCATATGGTTATATTGACGATGTTCTTCCTGATTTTGTCAAGCAACCGTGCAGCATTCTGAAGTTACAATTGGCCACTATAATTGTTTTTTATAAAACCTGCACAAAGTCGAGGCTAAGTCATAGCTAAATTTGGGGGTTTTAAGTGCCATACCAACGACGGGCATCTGGCACGCCCCAGCGGAGGACTGAGGATTAATTTGGACCACCTGGGGATCTTCTGACGTGCAACCGAAAGCTCGGTTACACGGCGCCTCCTCCGCAATAAGCCTCCGTCAGATTGCGGGCACCTCAGCCGGGATTCGAATCCGCCACATGGGGATCCGTAGGCCAGCGGTCTTGCCTCGGAGCAACCAAGGCGGCTCACAAAGTCAAGGCGGCACTCTAGATTGTGGCTTATTCACAGTAGCTAACATGCAATACATAGCATCCGGCAAAGACCTTACCTCTGTAAGCTTCTGACAACAGTCAATGAGGACCCACTTACTAAACTGCATTCTAAAGAGAATGACGAGACTTTCCCATAATAAATTTTATTGTTTCTCAAGTGCGACCAAAAGACTTCGCTTATGCTGTTCATTGCTTGTGCAGGCAGCCTCTGCTTTGTGCCGGTGCTGTTGGCATTATTCAATGTGCAGGTTGTCCATCCCTCTTTCACGAGGAGTGTCTAGCCAGAAAACCTAATTGTGGCATACAGTTTTCATGCAGTCGAGGATGTATTGTCACTGGAATGCAGAAAAATAGGCAGAGGTTATCCTAAATGACTTTCAAGACCTTGAACTTTTTTTACCATACCCGCCAAGTTCGGAAAAGCCAAATCCGAGAGAATTTCTAAGGGTGGGGGGGGGTAAAGGATTTTTAAAAAGACATTGATAACAAATGTAAATGAAGACAACTTCATTATATTTACATTGCACTGCTCATGCTAGCGAAGGACTGCTGCGCCTCGCTATCGTAGCAGCCGTTTGTTACGACGGCAAAAACTACTTATTTAAGTGCAAGGAGGGAAGGGGGGGTTTCTTGGGAGATTTTTCTGGCAATCATACAAATTGGTCGAAATTCGGGAATCTCCCGGGTAATACGGGTAACTTGGCAGGTATGATTTACCCTTGTTATGTTTATTGTTATTCTTTACCTTTGTTATGTTTCCACCTGCGTATTTCTTTCTTTTCATTATTAGAGTTTGATATGAAAAAAACTGACTGATATATTTAAAAAGGCATGTGACCCTGTAATTAGTTGCAAATTATTATTATAATTCGGTACAAACACTCATCGTCGCCAACAATTTCAATAACAATTGTTGTAAAAAAAAAAAAAAACTTGCTCTCGAGACTAATATATGGATAATAACAGCTGTACCCTTTATAATGGGTGGCAGCTTCCACCACCTAGCCTAAAACATTAACAAAAACTAAAAGCATCATCCACTGCCTCCTCCCTCTGGCGAGGGAGTCACCAATTTTCCTCTGGTCAAACCTTGTCAGCGTCTGCTGATTCCTCACAACACCGCAATAAATGTTGGGACACAAGTTTAATGAAATAATTTGCAACTGGTTATCAGGTCACACCTTTTCATCTGCAACAGTGTGCTTTTCCATTTCAAATACTCTCTTTTTTCACTTATATTTAGCATAAGAAAAGTACTATGTACAGCTGCTTATTCCTATGGGGGACAAGACAAAAACAGCTTAGTAATTTACATTTCGCTGTGGCTAGCGTTACGTCCGAACGGAGCTCTGAAACGCGTACACCTAACCCTCTCCCCGCCCTCCTCTCTCTCCCCCGTGAACTTAGGGAAGGCGGAGGTTTGTACGTAACTAGGGGTTACGTCGGACGTAACGCTAGACACTTCGTTTTAATTTTTATGCTTTGGTGTATGCTGCTTTTAATGTCTTTCTTTTCTTTAATTTAGGTCTTTTGGAGCAGCCAGACTGCTAGAGAGTGCATGCTCTCAGGTGGTGTATAGAGAAATGTCTTCTGTTAGGAAGTTGTGAAAACAACTTCCTTCTACAAGATAGGCACTCATGCCCATGGATCAACAAGCTTCTTATTTTTTTTTTTGTTAATGTTCTTTTTTCTTTTTAGTTTGCATTTAGTTCATTTCTTATTTTGTGCTTGTGGTAGGTCTTATTTTGCTGAAATAAACTTTTTGCATCCATTTCATTCATGCTATTCTTGTTGCAAAAACACCGGCAGCAACATTCGTTCAAGATAATGCTGCAGAACAGGTTACATTGAAGCAAAGCAAATGTGTCAAAGGGACCGACAATTGAAACAGTTAGCATATTAAACTTCATGCTTCTTGGAAGGCTCACTGATGCGACTGTTGCACCAAAGGCCTCAACCTGCTATATGCCGTTAAAATTAACCAAAATACTCTGATGAATTTGTGCCAACACTGCACGAAAAGCTCGACTTTTGCTCGCTATTTGAGATTTACTCGGAGCTTAGTACCTTGCTGGATCATTATGGTAGGATGGTGCCTGTTCTCAAAAATACAGACTTGATTGGACTAACACACTATTTGATTTTACCTTCGTATCGAACAGGGACAGTACACTTAGGTTCCCTAATAGTCCTCATTATTTTAAGTTTGTTGAGGTGGCCACACTAGCTTTAGTGAGTGCACTTCTCGATAGGCTTTGGTGCACTGTGGAGAAGACACTCGTACTGTAAACGGCAGTTTTGTTTTTGTCAGGTTTGCTTCCCTGCAACACACTTTCGTACTAGGGGAAGACTTACCTAATGAGCAGGGTATTAAGAAATTAAACATCTGGGATATGATGGTACATGTTGATCTGACAATAAAACCTTGCAGCAAAATTGCAAAAATTAACTGCAGCTATTATGTAGGTGTGCATGTGACAGGGCTGGGCAGAGATACTACAAAAAGTATTTGGGAATACAAATACTGTGATACTTCCGTTTTGAGGCCCAAAATACAGGTACTGAGATAAATTTGCCTTTTATGTAACGGGATATCCCTGAGATACTTCTGCAAAACGGCGAAAAAGTATTCCGGAATGCAGATACTTATAGAAATACATTTGTTCCCGAATGGTGCTACATGAGGAGGGTATAATTCGTGGTGAATATGAATGGTGATTTATGCTTGTGCTCCTCTTTTTGTGTCATTTTAAGCACTACCCCTTTGCTCAAACTCTTTATTTATCATTATGCCGCTAGAAAAACACGTCACCCCCCTTGAACCACTTAGTTATAGAACAATAAAGACTATGTATCATGCCCAACAAAACGCGTGTGCCCAAAATGAACATTGTTTTGCCATGAGGGCGCAGAACCAGTGCAGCCGCCGCGTTAGGACTGGCGCTATGATCGGCTTTCGGAGCGGAAGCACAGGGTGTCGCCTGCATCTGTTAGCTCTTGTTTCACCGCATCATGTTGTATGCTACATGTAATTATTCGCAGTTTCAAGAGACCATTCGCATTTCCTTAGTTTTAATGT